CAATTTCAAAATTTCTAATATGAACTTAAAATATGCTAAAAGTAATTGATTAGAGAGATGAGACATCTACGTCCGTCAAAACACCATGGATTATAATGAATATGGATTCAAACGCATCCAGGATTACTCAACAAATTCCGGATTACTCAGTTACGGCGTAAACAGGTTCATTGTCTAATGAACACATTTACCAATACCTCAGACTCCGATTTTAGATTGAGTCACCCTTAATTTCTTGCTCATTGAGGGTAGTAGCTATTATGCAATTGCCAGTTTTTAATATGTTTATTCATATTATAAACACTATATGGTATCGGTTCAAGTAACACTCCGTTGGTATTATAACTAGGTGAAAATTAGATAATTCCTGAACTTTGCTTTGAAATTTTACGTTTGCTTTTTCCATTTCCAGATGTTCGACGCTAATTTCGTCGGCATGATCCCTTAACTTGCACTTGGATTTTCAAATTTTGATTCAAATCTTTCTCAAGAACTACAATCGAAAATTTTTATGATGAAAACACGCGTATTGTTTATGTATTTCCTGCTCGTGCAACATAATCTACAGAATTTGTGCTGCAGGTCTGCAAACTATGTTGCGCGAGCTGTGAAGAAAGAGATGATCTCTATCAATTTTCGGCACACAAATGCTGTGTTTTCACCATAAAAATTAATATAATATCTAAATATTTTAGGCGTCTAATTTCTATTGTATTCCATTGCGTAGTAGACATACATGTAGTTTTTGGAGAATCCATGCGTAAAATGCAAGACGACATTTGGATTATGGTTTATTGCAGGCTCGGAAGTGATTATATTGCATTTTCAAATACAACCCCTCAAATTCTGTGTACTTCCTTCCAATTATAGTCTACTCATGATTGACCAAGGGTGAAAACGAATTGGGAGATCAAGAACGTGAAGCAATGCTATCTGCGTAATCGTCAATTTGCAATGCGACACCCGATCAGAAATTTCTGTGCCTGGCTTCGTAACCCAACATCATTTCCCGCGGCGCGACATCTGTTGCATTTAGCTAATCACGCGGCAAATGCACCAGTTTAGGGTGTTGAGCAAGTTTAAATTCAATTTTCTACGCGCGTGAGTAATTTACAGTGGGTGTGTACACTACTCAATAGTCCACACATTGCAACAAGTAATTGGTAATGGTTACTGTTCTTACTCTTTTTGATCAACTTATTCATCCACTATGGCATTTAAAAATTTAGACGTAAATCATTAGAAATGTGATAATTGCTACAGTAAGAAAAATATCTATGACGATGTTAATATTATCACCTGGAATATTGCTAAAAAGAAAGAAGAGGCAGAATAACAATAGAAATTTAGTTGGATATACATCAAGGAGTATAAACCTCTCAGTGTGTAGAGAGGAGTGGAAATACAACAAAAATATAACAAAAATCAGAGCAATCTCCATTTGATTTGCATTGGGCTTGTGACGTCACATGCCACATTTCCGCTCCTCTCTACACACTGAGAGGTTTATACTCCTTGGATATACATATTGTCTCCTTCTACTAAAAAGGTTTAGGTACATATATCATAATCATCAAGCCATGTGAGCATAATTTTTATGGTGATAACACAGCATTTTGCGGCGAATCATTGATCGGGTTTGTCTCTTACTTAACCACGGATAAAGTGTATTTTCCTTTCTACTCGCACGACACACTATACCAAGTATATATTGGATATAATGTATTTATTATTTGTTGAATTTTACTTTAACCACCATAAATGAAGTTCCTTAATTTGTTATATACTGGCTCTTGGAGCTCTTGGCTGCCGGATCGTCTGTCAGGTCTTCCTCTCTCCATATGGCGAGATCGAGGAGTCGCATTATCCACGATTCCCTCTTTGTTGAGGGAATTGTCTTATGGAATATGTTGCCACCCACCAGCAACGCACCACACCAGGCAATGTGGAGAGGCATTGTGGAGAAGGCCATGGCCCTTAAAGGGACGTAGGGCCATTTTAGTAAGTAATATGTTGCCGCGTGAGTGGAAGAGGGAGCTGATACTCCGAAGTACCGTCAAAGTTTCTCGCATATAAGTTTGTTCTTTAAACTTCTTTTTTTATGTATCTTCTTTTTTGTAACCGAGAGGACACCTTGTCCTACTGTCGAAATAAATATCAATATACTTGATTAAAGTATGTATTGTATTGTATTGTATTTCATTCATAATTTACAAATTGGAGAGATTTGCTGTCTAGCTGTATGAGCTGTTTGCCAGATTTGAGGCAGTGTATCAAAATCAGGCTGCGTAAGGCGACCTGAACAATTGCTGGACTTGCTCCAGATCGTTGACGAAAAGCCAGTCCCTCGCCGCAGTCACGCCTGCCGCCACACCCTCGCGTAGCAGCCCGTTGATGTTCAGCGTTAGTTATTGTATATTAGGTCGGTTCCCGATGCTGGCTTCACTAAAAAGCACGCGCTAATGGGTGGATTTCAATCGCCACAACGTAGGCAATTCACTAGAGTCGTGAGCGAAAGCACCATAAGTAAAGGGTGCAAAATGTACAATATGAAAACGAAACGGCATTCCACTAATCACTTGGCCAAAATTAAAACCGTTATATCTCGGGCTCTATGGCATTGATAAAAAAAAGAATTTGCACATTTTAGAAACGTCTCAATCGGGACTATCAAAGTACCTAAAAATTTCATTCAAAATATTTTGATTTTGGTCTTAAAAATTATACAGAGATAGGGGCCGATCAAGGTGTAAATTTTAACCCCCATATTTCCCTTCCTATTTTTTCAATCTTCATGAATGGGGGTTCGTTGGAAAGGTCTCGACCTCAGATATAATATACTGAAATTTAAAGAAAATTGATAATCTAGTTTTCAAATTATTCGATTTCGACCTTTTTGAAAAACGGGTTTTTCAACTTTAGCGTCTCTAGCGGTGATCCTACCAAGTTTTGGTATTCAGGTGAGAGATGGCATTTAACCTTAATTTAATCTAATGAGCTTTGAATTCTTTAGATCAGAGTATGAGAACCGGAGTTACGACCATTTCAAGTTTTCAAAATTTTGAACCTGAAATCTAGGGTTCGGAAGAACCTAGGTCCTTAAATGGCGATTCATTGGTAAGGCCTTGATTCCAGCTTTAACATACCAGAATTCGGGACAGATACATGCTATTGGGGCTGAACAAATGAGCAAAACGTTTTTTGGAGATTGTTGATGCATCTCACTGTGCAAATCGCTGCACAGTGTGTTTCGTGATGCAGTGATAAAGAAAGCCAGTCGGTATTCAGTCCCGCTAGGACACAAAATACAACTCTTTATCGCATGTAATTTTGCTCTCTCCCCACTTGATATCCAACCTTCCAACTTGCCACTCTGGAAATATAAGGCAACCTTTTTCACCATAAAGTCATCATTATTTGCCATCATTTGAAATAAAGTAGTTCTAAGTGAAGTGAGAAATCTTTTTGTGCTTCACCGCCGCTGAACCATCCCACCTCAGCCCGTCGTCCGCGCAGTGCCACCAGAGCAGGAGAAAATTTTGTCCTCCCAGCCAGATAGGCTAAATTCTCGCATATCTGTAGGTTTGTGACCATTCAGGGGTGTTCAAAATGGCGGAAGGAGGGGTGGGGGTTGGATTTGACATCACCAAGTTCTAGCGGCAGTAGGATTTTTGACCTTTGGTGAAAACCGCCTGTCGATATCTCTTAGTGTTTAGACGCCACATGTCCATTTACTACGGACCGACCGACGGACGGACCGACAGACCGATGGACGGAAACCAAAAAATTACCCCCATTTTTTCGCCAGATTTCGTTAGAAATAGCCTCCCTTATGTCATTTTAGTCGATTTTGCGACATTTGATTTTTTTGTGCGATTACTGATACATAGAGCCGGGATGCACCCAGCTCAAAAGGAAAAGGGAATCTGACAGGACATTATGGCCAATCGACCTTTGCTGCCTAGGGCTAGGATCTGTGTTTATTGTAACTTATAAGATTAAAGACTAATTTATAGTTATGCTTAGGCTTGGAAGGATGGAAATTTTATGAACAGATCAAATTATGTACAGAGATGTTTTCACACAGTCATATAATATGAATTTTTACAAACTATTTATTAGCCACCATAAAGTCTTATTCACCAAATTCCCACATTAATGCTCCGTAGCAGTTGTCTTATCAAGTTATGGAGTTCAAGTATAAGATGGCATTTTATAATATCGTTTTAGGAAGCTCAAAATCATTCCAATCGATTAATTAGAAATAGAGGAATGGCTATTTTAATTTTTGAATTATAAACTCTTTTATCAAGGGTCCGGAAGAATCTAGGTCCTTCTAGATAGACAGAATCTATCTATAGATAGAATCTAGATTCTTAGGTGGTGGATCGTTAGAAATGTCTTGAGGTCAGCTATAACATACCAGAATTTGGACCCGATCCCTGCCATAGAGGTTGAACAAATGAGGAATGTGTACTTCGGTGGTGATCAAACAGGCGGCAGGAGGGGTTAGGGGTTGTATTTGGCATCAAAATGTTCCTAAGAAGTGTATATTTTAACCCTTTGCCGCAAACCGCATGTCGATATTTCTTACCGTTTAGACCCCAAAAGCCCGTTTGTCACGCCGGAAGGACGGACGGAACGACAAACAGACATGAAAAACAAAAATGCCACCCCCCCCCACCTAAATAGAGCCGGAGTTATGGCGATTCAGATTTTGGAATGTCAAAAACGCTGTAAATTGGTTTCTATCTATCAAATTTTTATAATTTTAGGCTCGTTTCAAATGTATTGCAAAAAAGTAAAACTGTTTAGACCATCAAAAGCTCGTCTGACTATTGCTAGATGAGCTAAAGGTGAAAACAATATTTTCAAAATTCTGAAATCGAAATTTTGTTTGGAGGGTAAGCTGTATCTATAAAAAATCTTAAGTATTCCGTTGGTCCAATTTCAGTAGTTTCTAAAATGTCGTAATTCTTTACTACCGAAGCGAAAGAAACCCGATTTATTGTACTTTAAAGTTTTCATGTGAATGTTTGGACTCTTTTTATAAAGTGCAAAACTTAAAAAAAAAAATTTTACAGAAACAAACAGCAGTAAATCCTAGCTTTCCATAAAACACGCTTTGCGTATAACTTAAACAACGGGAAATTTAGTGGGAATTGTTTTTTCTTCAACCTTTAACATATTTTCTTTTCCATGCAGAAATTAGAACAAATCCATTTATTGCTATATATATATATCACACATTATATATATGTGTGTATATAAATATTTTTATTTTTCCTTCGACTCTTCTTCATTAGGTGAACTTGAATTATTGGATTGCTGTTGCAATGATGTTACAAGGTTTGTCACGTGTGGATTGGACTGTAACAAACGACGAATATCAGTGAAAAGTTGAGGGTTTTGAGCACCCATCTGCATTGCTAGTTGACGACCAGTGTTTAGTAGCGACTCAATACTATTGGCGTCATTGAGGTATGACAATACTTCATTCACTGATGGGTCGGACATCATACGTGCCGCCATTTCTGCAAGGCCTTGATTCACACCCGAAGTACCCTCTGTACTCTCTTGAAGTCGCTGTCGTGTTATATCCAATTTGCTCTTATAATCAACGTTTGCAGGTTCCAGCCGAACAGCTTCCTCAAAAGCCGATACCGCTGCTTCCAGACGGTTCATCTTTACCAATGCGTCGCCAAGTCGAGCATGAGCCTTGCAGTATGTTGGATTGTATCTGAAAAAATAACATACGTAGAAAATTGTAATTTTTGCGATTTAAAATATAAGGACTATAAATTAACATAATGGAATAGCATATAGACGACACCCCATCACTAGTTTCGTTTCCCGAAGCACATATTGCAAATGTTTCTCCTGGCACATAGCTAGAAGCGCTAGTGGGCAAGGGAAACCATCGAAATTATGTTTCAAATCGCATTGAAATTTTGATTATGCGTGTAAATAATTCGTTGAGCCTCTTTATGCCGGGCCAAGTTAAATGCTGGATTTATCATTAATGTTGCATTTCCCAATATTCGGCTTTATTTTAGTCCATGGCGTTGATACCAGGACACAAGCGCTTCGGCCGGATTAAACTAAAACCGAATCATGTTACAACCCGACGCGCAGTTGCAAATGACGTTCAGTGAGGATGTGTGTGAGAATTTGACAGCGCAAACGCATGCGCAACCGCGCAGTTTGAGCTGACATTTTAGTCCATGTCGGACTAGACTTAAGATAAATGCTGTATTTATATTAAATCCGACACGGCGTAAAGAGGCTCATTGACTATTTTTCACGATTTTTATTAATAAATTACCATGTGTTCTCATTGCTTGAATCTACCTCTTTCGTTCACGATAATAGCAGTCGGCAAGGTTCTGCCACTGCGAACCGACGACAGCGCCGTGTTTCACGTATCCGAAAGCACATTATATAGTAATTTGAACTAGGGTTGAGAGGTTGCATATAACTTTTTAATTAGATGTTATAATGCTCATCGAAAAAAAGACATAGATAATAAGGGAGAAAGCAATGTTATGAAATGTTTGACAAAAAATTTTGGATCTAGAACAAATAATTTGGGCTCTTATGTGCAAAGTATTTGTATTTCAACGGGATTCCGGTTGCGACGTTTAATGCAAAAAAAATGTGAATAAGCAAGCATTCCCCGTGTGCTTATTTGCCATGGTCTATTTCAGCATATCTGAGTGTCTTAAGTCAAATAGTATTCAAAATGAAACGCGTTCACTACTGAGCCACAGCCGCACCAATATAATGTCTAAGCTGAATAGATAGATTTCTTTTTTAATCCTACCTCAACGACATTTGCGCGTCAACGACAGCCCTATCAAAATCTCCTAGGCGAATCCAGGCAGCTGCTCGATTGCAGTAAAAGATGGGATTGCGGACGTCAATACAAATAGCGCGATTATAGTTGCTCAAAGCTTCTTGATACTTTTCCTCCTTCATCAAACGGTTGCCTTCGTTTTTTAGTGCCTCTGCATCTTCAACTGGGGTTATTACATCATGCGCTGTTCGCCACAGCTGCCATACGTTCACATCACTGTGCGTAGGCTGATATACAGCCTCCAGACATTGAATAGCAACTTCCAAACTCTCAACAAGATCGCTCTCAGTTTTGAGACGTTCAATTTCCTCACGTAGAAAGTGCACCATATCCCCAACGAAGGCACGTCGGTCAGGGTCCGTCATGGCCAAGAGGGATAATTTTTTTTTATGAAAATGGTTCCGTATAAAAATGGATTGTTTAGAAACCTCGTTGCACTTCAATGAGACAAATTTTGACATACAGATAGCCCCTCCCGATACCCAGTTTCTGTTCACACCAAACGTAAGCGTGTCAGGAAATGCATACGCGTTCTTTATGGATGTCAAACCCTTTCGGATTTGTGTCGTTCTGAATAATAATTCTCCTATTGTCCTAATGAGGAAAATATCTCATTGCCTTCTGACTATGGAGATGATATGAATAAGAAATGCTAAATTTTCTGATTCCTGTCAAGAAATGTTTTCGTTCTTCTTTCGGATTTATAGCTTTGATTGCCATGCGCCTAAAGTGCCCGCACGGTATTCCCATACCGAATGGCCGGAGTTCAATTCCCGGCGACTGCAAAAAATTTTCAGTCTTCTGCCTGCACTTTCCTAACCTACTATATCCTTTCTACTATAAATCTGCCATCCAAGACACTACTGGTTACAAAAAGTGTTATACTACTGGTACACTACTTGTTGCAATACTGTTGGTAAAAGTGTTATCATGATTATTCAATTTTATTTCAATTTCAATTTATTTTGGCAAAACTTAGGGCCTACCCTCTTACAAATTTGCCAGAAAACAAGCAAAACAACCTAAGAATGACAGATTAATGAGAAAAGAAAAGATACAACAGATACAACAAATGTGAAGAAAAAGAAAATAAGAAAACAAAAAAGGCAGAGAAAAAGAAAGAAAAAAAAAGTTAAACAAAGTAAGAAAAAAAGAAATAATAATAATAAACTTGATAAAGCCTAGGGAGAATGATCACCCTGAAAAAACCGCCTGATGCCACCCACTGTCTCGCTCGCCTCACGCGGGAGGGCGTTATAATGAGATACGCCTCTAACGAAGATGGTACGATGAAAGGTCTCATGCTCGGCTCTAGGGACGAGTAGTCCCCGGAGTCTGGCCGAACCACCTCTCGTCAAGATTGAAGCCAGATATCCAGGGCAGCCGCTGATGGAAAGACGATCTAAGAAAAATAGGGCTCGCATTTGCAGGAAGGAGGACAGGCTGCAGCCCACCAGCACATCCCTGTGGGCAGAGATGTGATCGTGGGAACCCAGTTCGCAGACGTACCTGACACGATTGTTAAATGCTACAGTCAGTCGACGGATTGTGTCACTATCCGCCAGGAAGAATAGCTCTGCTCCATATGAGAAGAATGGCATAATTAGCGCTCGCGCGAGAAGCAGCCGAGTATCATAGGGTGTGATATCCCGATAGCGTCTGAGGACATATAGAGAATAATTGACCTTACGGCAAAGGGAGGAAGCATGATCAGACCAGGATAGAGTCGAATTAAAGACAATACCGAGGTTTTTAACCTGATCCGCATAAAGGATAACTTCACCGTTAAGAAGAACGGTGAAGTAAGGAAAATTAGCACTCCTTTTTGAGAAGATAATTGCCTGCGATTTTTTAGGATTCAGGCGAAACCCATTGGAAGAAGCCCAGTTCCCGATTCGGGAGAGGTTATCATTCAAAAGGTTGAACGCACAGGAAGAATTTGAAGGATCACCTTCTATGTAAATCTGGAGGTCGTTCGCATACAGATGATACGAGCAACCACACAGGACAGAGTGCAGATCATTAATGAACATGGAGAAGAGCAAAGGACCAAGAATAGATCCCTGGCCAATGCCCCTTCCTAAGGTAGATGGGGAGGACGTTATCTCCTTCCATTTTGGGAGGATCCTCACAAACGATTTTCTTTAAACAATGCAATTTCCAAACAATAAAATCGTTTAACTTAGGATGGTTTTACACAGTGAAAGTCAATCCAGAACCAGAAAACTTTTCAGACATTGACTTTAGCCACATAAGTATGAAAGATATAACGCTAATTGTCAATATTGTTTTTTTTTCTTTTATTAACAAGCTGACATATCTCATTCAAATCTCATTTCCCAATTTTCCTCAATGGCAAAGCAATTCCCTACGTCCATAGCGACAGAAATCTTGGAGTTATCTTCAATGATTCATTGGCGTGAGACGATCACACTTCCCACATCTGTAAAAAGGTGAATTTCACTCTTTTTACGCTTCGAAGACACCAACTCTTCATTCCCCAGGGGGTTCGGCTTTTATATAGGCTTTCATATAGGTCTTTTCCTATGGTGCTGAACTATTTTTTTTGCGATCAAGCCCTATGCTTCGCCTCACTGTCTCATTCAACAACTGCATTAGATTTATTTTTAACCTCCGGCCTTTCGATCATGTCTCCCAGTACTATCACCTTATGCTGGGACAGGCAGAACAAAGTCTACCTATTTTTCTCAATCACGCTCTGTTGAATTCATTTCTCGGACGCTTCGTTTACGTCAGCCCCATTATTTGGCTGAACTACTCATGCCTGGCTCGTCTGTCAGGTCTTCGAGTCTCGTTTCGCCGACCTCGCTGAGCCGTATCCTCCGAAACTCGCTGTTTGTTGACGGGGTGATTCTCTGGAATGAACTTCCTAGAGATATCAAGCGGTGGCTAATCCAAACCTTTTTGGCGTTTTAACTGCTTTGTCTTTTTGTTCATTTTATAATAGATGGGGAAGAAAGCTTATACAACCTATGAAAGAGCTTTTCCACCGTTTTGCTCTGGAGGTTGGTTATCAACGCATAGACGTCGGTGGACGCAATCTTGGCTCACAAAAGCTTGTCTTATGAGCCAAAATAAATATATATTCTATTTGTCTCCATTAAGCAGAGAAAACTCTTTGAAATTAAAGCTCCACAGAGACGTTAGGAATACTCATGAGTTTAACCAATAATCAGATATTGACGTACCAACCTGATCTTCTCTTCATCGGTGTACCACCACCGACAACCTACGAACAATTGCCTTTTATTCCAATTGTCGAATTAAGTTCTGAAATAAGGAAGAGCATGTTACCGCCTAATGCTAGAAAACTAAATTGAAATTAGAGGGGATAGAAGTGACAGTCTAGTGTTTGCACTGTACTGTGTACTGGTAAATCTGTACGCAATTGCATATCTCTTCGTATAGTAGTTTATTTCTTTTACCGCATGTAGAGGTGGGCCAGTCGAGTTACGAACATACCCCTACAGCACTCATATTGAACAAAGCAGATTCAGCGAAGATCTGTGATAGATGGCTCCCATGCATGGTTTAGCATGGGGTTTAAACTGGGCTAATTCGAAATGTGCAGGATAGCATAATTTTTAAACTCTTAAGATACATGAAATCCGGAAACAATATCGCGAATAGATAAATATATACATACAACAGTAAATGTAATGCCTTCTGTGTACGTTATGACATTGGACAATTTTATTACATTCTTCAACTATTCTCCTAAAACTCAATATATCTCCCTTGCTAAAATAATATCTACAATCTTGCTTTAGTTTTTACGGTACAACGCAGATAAACAAAAATCTATCACGGGACGTTACAAAAAGGAACTGGACCACTCGGCACTGCTTCTGACTCTAACTGGGCGGCAACTGGAATACAAGAATTCATTACAATATAATGAAAATTAGAAAGTTTTCTTAATTAATATGAACAAACTTACTGCTCTTTTCAAATTTCTCGAGCTCCACGAAGTGACGCAAACGAAGTTCTTCTTCTTCGAGGTGTTGCCTAGATAGTAGAAGCTGGAGTTGATGACGTGATTTGGTTTCCAGATGCCGCTTAGACAAACTAACTTTGACTTCATCGAGATTCCTCTTCAGTTCCTATATTTTAAAAGACATCCTTAACTTCTTGATTGTTTATCCGATATGTATGTGAAAGTAAAAAATGAATAAAAAATTAGACTGTAGTGTATTTAAGTGATGTTATCACTTAGAAATCCTCACAGTTTGTAACCTTACACGTTTCTGATACTACAAGAGTTACATTGTGAAGATGAGTGTAAAATCACTCAATTCCCTTCGTGGTTGAATGACTTTGTTATGAGAATTGGAAATGGAATATCCCAAAATGCTAACAATTTCTCACTATATGACTAATAAAGAAAAAGAAAATGAAAAACTAATGCAACAAACACACTGCAAAAAGTCAGTAAATTTTTTTTAGTCAGCTTAACAATTAGTTTGGTCAGTTAAAAAATTAGTTTGGCCAAGTAATAATTCAATTTGCCGGTTTCCGGAGAAAAATTTTTGTCAGTAACGTTATGGTTTAGTCAGCAAAAAATCATTTTGAGCAATTATCGAAAAACACATGTTGTCAGTATATTTGTTTGGTCAGTAATTTTTTTGTCAGTAATCTATTAGTTTGGTCAGTAAAATATTGACTTTGGTCAGCGAACCGTTGCTCATTTATAAAGTAAAAATCCCACTTTGATCAGTATTTTTGCTGTTTGGTCAGTAAATACCAATGGTTGCCTTAACTAGGAAACGCGGGAATACTACAGAGGATTAAAACGAGACAGCAACAACTATAGCTGGTTCTATAGCTATAGATAAGTTCTATAGCTGTGGAGAGAATTCGACTTGAAATTGATGACACACTCGATCAGTGCAGAAAATGAAGGTAGGAGTGGTGGGTTGTTGGATTATGATAAGTAGTGTAATCCCAACGACCAGACTCATCCATAATTTTCTCTAAGTACGGAATAGCATTTTCAACCAATTGTACAAACAATAACACTCAATAATACAATTTCAGCCCTAAAGAAGGCAAAACATCTCCGAAACACAGATATTGAATAGGAGCGACTGAAGTTAAACAACAAGGTCATCCCGTGTTTCACATCTTTAGATAGATGAATTGATTAAATTTGACAGAAATGGCCACTGTAGCTCAAATACCCTTTCCTCTTCGCACGATGTTTTGGGCCTTTATTTACTCTTCTACAGTTATAGAAAAATGATAGAATTAAATTTCTTACCGTATCACCATAAAAAGGTGTTTGATCCTCGATGGGAGCCACCTGGCTAAGATTTACAACGGGAATCGAACAGCCATTAGATACAGTGTGATTGCATGGCTGACGAACATCAGGTTCCGTCTCTATAAATTTCGCCTCTTTTACTGCGAACACCTGCAAATTTTACTCAATTATAAATATCTATGAAGACGCAAAAAAACCAGATACTATCAGCTACGTATTGGAAATATTCAGTTAAAAACAAAAAAAAATTTAGTAAGGGACTTACTGTAGCTTTTCGTGAACAACTTGAAATGTGGCAATTTTGAAATGTAGTATCAAATGAAGTACATAATACAAAAGTGTTTCAATTTTCATATGAAACTTTAAAAGCATTAAAACACGGATTTCCTGGCTCCAATATATTACTATAATCTCATTTTAGAAATTTCTCAGGCTGGACTAAACATTCTTTTCCTAACATTTTAAAAATATTATTAGTGCTCAAAATCCCAGCTATTTCATAATTAACTACCATGCACAGTTTCCATGTTACCCGAAATTTCGCGACCAGAGCGCAAAATTTTTTTTGCTACTGCGAAGATATCACTTAAAAACAGTTTTAAATCGAATATTTTTGCATTGCGAATTCGCCACAGTTTCAGCTGACCCTTGTGAACTGAACTACGCGTCTAAGTTTTTTTTTTTATTAGGGTCCCACTTCCTAACATACAATCTAGATTCCATTTAATTTACTTCTATTACGTGATTATGAGTTTATTCATTTTTCTTATATAGTTTGCTTATTTACCTGGAATCTTGACACCTTCCTAACTGGCCCTAAGGTTCCTTTTTCTTCAGATGAGACACTCTCCACAGACATGAATCGTTGCATTTTAGGCTGTTCTGATTCTAATTGCCGAATTAGTCCATTGGCTGTACACCTATTAAAGTAACTGTCATTATCCGGATAATAAAAAAGTAATAAAATGTACTTACTTTTGTTCTGGTGAGCTAATATTTTCAGTTGCCTCTACTTGAGATTCATCAACAGACGTAATAATCGGGTGTACAAGTAAATCTTCATGAGCCGGACTGTCGCTACGAGGTGTTATAATACGCTGCGTCGATATTTCACACGGAAATTGGATAACATCTGATACGGGTGATTGACACATTTCTACACAGAGTGAATATAAATAAAAAATTATTAGTTACATATGTATATATGAATTGATTTCTGCAATATTATTGCTAAAAATTGTGGATAAGCACACACTTTGCATGTGCTGAAAGGGAGCTTCGATTTACTGTAGCCAACATACAAAAAGATTATTTTTAATTCAATTCACTTGCAATATTACTGAGAGGGGCAGACCCAACAAAATTGTAAAACGGAGTAATAATAAAATAATAATAATAATAATAATAACCTTCTGTATACGATTCCTCTTTACCACTGGTCATGTTTGGGGTTGCTTGTCCTGAAGCTGCTCCCATGTTCATATCTTTGTGTTTAACAATCGCTGGCACATGAGCATGCGTAATATTTTCCAGTTCAATTTTTAATTGCTCTAGTGTATTGATATGCTCTGGACCAACTGTTTTTAATTGTGGCGTAGCATCGTCTGCCTCATCCTGAGGAATTTCTGATGGTGTCACTGTAAATCTGCTTATCTATGAGGAAAAATAGTTTTCGATCATTTCAATGGGTTTTTTTTTTATTATTTACCTTTCTGACTAAGGGAGCCAATTTACAGTCATCATCCATTCCACTAACAACTGTGTTTTCCGGAGTGTATTCATTTGATGAAAGTGTGCATTCACTAGCTGTGCTTGTCTTTCGCGACGTGTTCTCATTGTCTCGACGTATCTCAATTTCGCCACTACCCACACTTTCATCACTTCCTGTTGCACATTGGGCTTCGTCACGTACGTAGAACGAAGCAGCTAATGGTTCATGGCTAATAATTTGAGGGTCAAACATTTGAGTAAGTGATGATGTAGATGTCTCGTCACGCTGCAAGCAGAAAATAAATTACATATCATGACATAGTGCCGCATATATTCAGGCAAAATCCACACAAAGAGCATTAAAGCATATAAAACTATAAGATTCATGCCCACTGCTAAATCAACAATGACTTATGTATATTCATTTTAACAGCTTTACTACGATTTCGAATATAGAAAACACACCGTTCTTTTATGATGTCTCGAGCAAAACTTGCTAAACAGATTTTGAATTCGAATTTGAATTTATTAACCTCAGATAGACAAAATTAATTTACGTCCATCGCCATCTCAGCGGTATATATGAATATAACGATATATTTGTACAAAATAGATAGATGTATAATTATAGGTTTTATCCACTGTTTTAACCAGATAATGTGGCTGTAATTTATTCCTAATAGACGAAAATTCAAGGAACTTTAGGATAGTTAAAGTCGTAGTAAACCCATTAATATGAACGTGTGCCGTAATAACTTAATACGCCCAGTCGTTGACTTACAGATCGATGTCGGTAGTGCATCTTTATTGTGGGTCGCTGACGTGTAAGTGAAGCATGACGAACCTTTTGTTTTTGATTAATACGTTAGGCATATAGGAAAGAGAAATATAAATTCGCTTTAAAGTTCTGACACTATTTTACGCTAAATATATAAAACAAATATTAAATGACTAATAAATCATTTTATGCGATATCTGGCATTTAAGACGGAAATAACTTTTCCAGATATAAAATATCCCACAAGTATCAATTTATATATGTTTTTCTTTACATGCATTTGTTAAATACTATTTATCCTGTTGCTTTGCCTTTTCTAGTACAATATGACAACATTTCTATAGAAAATATAAATTGTTTTTGATAAATCGTAAGAGTACACATCATTTACTCATAATCACGAAGATCTACTTTTCTACATATATTTTGAAAGATGATTAACGAGATTATGCTTAACTTCATATTTACTCTAACGATGCGCAGTAATCATTGAATAAAATCAGGTGTTCTCGTTGTTTCTTACTCTAATGCTTCCTAAGTATGCAGATAAAAATGTCTATTACACGGAATGGCCACTGGCCGATTAATACATCAATTTATATTACAAATAAGTTAATAAATATCCACAAATCTAAATCCGGCGTTAGCAAAGCATACAAACACTATAAATAATTTATTTTGACCTTTAAGCGACTTTATTCAACGTTTCGAATATGACAAGATGTAATTTTTATTATAGACGGCATCTCACGAGAACTGTGATTTTACGAACTACTTTTTCATATAAATTTTTGATAATATTGTTTAAATAGAAATGAACTGATCATTGAACTGTTCACTGCTGCAGGAATAAAGGCTATGCTCTCCGCATATATGTATGTAGTCAAATTATCTCTATATAGGTACTTTCGTATGTTTTGGAAACCAAATATTGCAAGTAAGTAAATATCAACCGAGCACTAACATTGAAGTTATGAAGGAGGTAAATACATTTTGAAGTCACCCGTAAAGTTCTGATTACCATGATGATGTTAAGAGATTCATGTTCATAGAATAGTTACAAGAGGTTAGTATTTTTTAATCTCACCTTATCTATATTTCGCCGTGGCTGTATCGGCTGCGGAAGTAAATGAGGATTCGTTTTTAACTGCATCACAACATCTCGAATTAATTCCATGAAATACGAATACTGGTTTTCCAACAACAACTTCTGTGATGTCTGTAAAAGTAATATTTATTATATCAAGCAGGATAAGGTTTAGGAAATATCTAACCAAATTGTTAGCAATCTCTTCCGGATTCATATCGATGATATCGAACTTGAAGGTAATGGTATTCAGGCGGTTTTCCAATACACAATGCACTGTGCCATTTAATACCTCAGTCACCTGTAGTTTCGGTCGCTCGCTGGACTTATTCAGGCGTCTCGACTTGGCTACCTTGGTCTTGGCAGTCTCTCCCAACGATAATTCACATTGAAGAGGAATCATTGGATCCATTTTTGCTTTCACAGCTACCGCTTTTGCTGCAGCTGCTAATTCTGCTTTCAGTTGTATTTTTTTTCTTTCCGCTATCAAGGCATTTACCTGGATTTTCAATAACTTTGCTACCTCACGAATATCTTCATCAAGAATATGATTTCCACGTGCCATATCTACCGCTAGTTCATCGAAATCATCCTGTGTATAGTCGTAAAAGAATTCGACGGCTTCATTTACCTTGTATTTAGCGGGACGTTTTTTCGGATTTATAACCCGCAAACGAAAGTCGATACGTGTAAGATCAGGATTTGAAATAAAAATATCTTTCTGTATTGGCTCCAATCGAATACCTATGTCCTGACCAAAGAATTCGCTGCTCAGTAAATCTTTACAACTCGGTCGAGCGTCCTTTTTTACCTACAATATAGTCTGATTAAGTTAAACAAAAGAAAAATATTTTAAACGCATTATGTATAGCTTTATGTAGTTCATCACAAATGCTGTACACGTAAAAATTAGACATTGATAAGATTATATGTGCAAGTTACTTAGTATTTTATTATAAAGTAATTAAAAAATTAATGATCAGCACAAATTTTTTAAATGCTTAAGATAAAACTAGCAACGTAAAATAAGGAAATACGTACGTATGCATAAACTACGCTATTATATAGCAGTTTAGTATAACAGTAGAAAGCGGCCAATTCATAGCAGTTTTATTGGGAAACTATGTAAAAGAGTGATTTTTCATGAATCGGCATGACTTTTATTGGTTCGATTGAATTTGTAGATAAGTTTTCCACACTCGCAAAGTACATTTTGCCCCTCAAATTGAATATCCCTACACATCGCAAAGTTAGAATTCCTTCATATGGTAATGGGAAATCTGTATGTGCAACATGGACGTTACAAGACTTGAAATTCCAAATTGGCCAAAAGCACTTTACTGTGATAGTGAACATTGAAATTACAAGAAATTCATGCAAATTACGATTTTGAAACTCTTTACGCTGGTAGGAAGTTTATCAGAATGTACTAAAATTTTTCGGGGCTCAAAATCTTTTGAGTTCAATTCTGTTTAGAATCATTTAGTGTGTTGAAACCTTTCTTAATTCTGAGAAAATATTTACATGAAGAATGTTGATGTTCGGTGACAGCAAATCGAAACATCCAAAACACATATAGGATATTTTTTTCGAAACTCACCTGAATACAGCTTTCAATAATTTCCCTTACTTCGGGATTTTCCACCTTCTCCAAACTTGCTGGCTTTATGCCCGAGGTAACCTTCTTATATATCTGGGCTGGTCCACTGCACTCACTATATGGGTACTCACTTGTAGACATTTCCAACATACACATTCCGAAGGCATATACATCAACACCTTCATCATAGTGCTCCTCGTACATTTCTGGAGCCATAAACTCTGGGGTTCCAATAACACTTTTAGCAAAACTTCTGTTTTTAAGTGTTGCCAAGCCAAGATCTCCAATTTTTACGCTTCCAGTTGTACCAGTAATAAAAATATTATCACATTTTAGGTCACGATGGATGATAGGAGGTGCGCGAGAATGAAGAAAGCTTAGGCCTCTCAGGATTTGACGACACCAAGACTTTAGAACTTTGGGAGTTATTTTCTTAAAACGACGCAAATAAGATTTAAGCGTGCCGCTTAGCATTAGTTCCGTAACCAGTACGATATTTTTCCGTTTTCCCACGGTCTCCTCCCAATAGTTATAAAAGCGCACTATATTTGGATGTTGTAAGTTTTTTAGCATATCAGCCTCCTCTTTAAACCGCTGTCTTTCTACCTTATTCACCTGCAGGATAATAAAAATAATTACATAAGTTTTATTGCTGAAAACTCAGATTGTAAACAATTTTACATTTAAAAACTTCAAAATTTATGGGGAAAGCGGGGGAAACGTGTCTAATTCAGGCCATGAAAAACTCAGGAATAAAACCACCGAGCAATCAATGATCTTTTTACGCAACATTAGCATACATATTATGAAATTCCTTGGAAACGTATTTTAAAAATTACACAAATAAGTTGAAAATCAAACGATTTTCAGAATTTTAGCGATTTCAATTCTTTCTCAGCCCAGAGAATGAGGTTAATAGTGTTGGAGTGCGCCAAGTAGTGATATCCTAAGCGACCAGATTCACTCTAATTTTCCATATACCTGAAGAAGGAGGCAAGTTTCAGTTGAAAGTTTCTTCGAAACGTCAATAGAAGAATATAAGCGAGTGAAGCAAAAGAAGGCCGTCCCGTGTTTTATTTTCAAATCTGAATATCCGGCTGATAAACACAACATTCACAAGTCATTGACCACATGCCCATCTTACTATTCCGAAAATTTCTCACATATTTAGAGTTCGTTTCGGGGTTATGACTTTAGTGAAAAGCAATAGTTTTTTAGTTGTAACCAAGGGATGGCTAATGTCGGAGAAGCAGTGTCACATGGCCCAAGATGCAGTCAAAACGCATCGGATATGCCGAGATGCAGTTATAAATGTTTACAAAATTGGATTTATTTTCAGTATTTACCTTTTTGTCCATTAGCTCGCACCATGCTACATCGACACATGTATGGGTATCCCAACCTCTAAATACAGTTTTAAAACTTCCACGTCCAATCTCTTCGTCTAGTTTGATAAATCTGTTGCACGGAGATATGCTGACACCCAGATCCTTATCTATCTCTGTTTCTGCCTTCTGTTGTTCAACAAATCGCTCAGGATCAAATATCGGACCATATTGAACCAGCCGCTCATCAGTCTTTTTAAACTTTGCCTCTAGATTTTCTGCTTCTTGGCTCAAGATCTCTATATTATCATCCAAATTACGAGTGTATTCTGTTTCGACAACATCACTGTCATAAAACGATCGGTTGACTGATGAACTTATCGTATTATCCAGTGATTTTCGTACAAATCTTAAAGCACCACGTAAACTGTCGGTTAATATAAGACCCTAAAAAAGAAACAGAATATTATTACTTATGCACAGTAACAGCAGCACAGATGTTGTCGCGATAAAGAAATTTTAAATCTATGGAAGCCGTACAATTAAAACTCAGTATAATGTAAACGGATTTCTAATGAAAAATAAGACAATGAAATAAACAAAATAAAAAGTTAGAGGATTATTTGTGATTGTAATTGAACAGAATCCAGTATTTTAAATTATTATAATAAATTTTACACGATAATATATAAAAACATTCAAAATTTAAAAATAAGATTGTAAAACTAAGGAATTAAATGAAATTTTAAGGGAAATTCAAAATTGTCAAAAATTTAATAAATTAAAGAAACAAGTTTTATTTTAAATTTTGCAATGTTCATGTTTTTGAAATGAATTGGGAAGAGATATTTCACAATATTTTATCACTGTTTCGATCTTTTCGTTGACTCAAGGAAGAGTTTGAATGGGAAGATATTCAACCGGCTGAGCGAGCATAGTTTAGCCCAATTCTTCATGAGAATAATGGAAAATTGCAAAAGTGCTGGGAACGAATGATCACGAGCAAGTCGTTCTACAATTGTGGATTATGAGAATTGGGCGACTCTTGGGGTCAAACAGATTGGATTATAGTCTACTTCTACAGTTTTTTTTTAACAAAAAAATCCTCAAATTTGTTTTCTTGATTCTAACATTTTGTGCTTTTATTTTATGACCAAAAGTTCTGCATCATTTAAACTTAAACGTAGGTTATTGTTTCTAGTGTACTCAAGCCAAAAAGTAGAAGATAAACAAGTTTTCATAATATTTTGTATTTTCCCCAATTCTTCTAATGCTTCTTATCGTTCAATTTTAATTAATAATGGTGAAAACACAGCATTTGTCATTTATAATTTGTTCACGAACGTCTCTTTCTTCCCCACGCGAATCGTGTATTTTCCTTCCTGCTCACGACATTTTTATGTCGAGTGTGTGCCTGCAGATTTTACGTTGGGCAACCCGCGCTGAATTTGAGTTTGATGTGTCTGACAATGCGATTTTTGTCAAAATGTTCAAAATAGATAATTTTCATATGGAAAATCGAGAAAATCGTCAAAGTAATGAATTTTAGTGTGGTAAAAACCCAAAAATTTATTGATTTCGTCCATAATGAGCCATCATTGTGGAGAAAATCAGATTGTGTGAAGGCGCCAAAAGGTGATCTGCAGACCAAAATTCAAAAGGGAATCTGACGGGACCGACCCGAGATAGTATGAACAAAATATTGTGTTTTCACCATAAGGAAAAAGTTGATATAATCCGCTTACCTTAGTAGAATCATTCTTCTTCGAAGCCATTGCTGAGCAGTTTGCTTCCTCTTCTGTCATCGTATTTGCGAATTCTTGTATAAATCGCGTAATTAGAGCGAGGCCTGATGTTTTGTCTACGTGGTGTTGGTTTTGCCCTGTTTGGGATTTTGATGATCAATCAGAAAAAGTAATTATGCAGTTGTGATAAGCAAAAAGACTCTGCCTACTGGTAAAAGATCTTTGTGGCGCATTTCGTCGTTTCACTGAATCAGTCTGTCGTTGACTCAACGCAATGCTACGTATTGGAGTGGGTTGTAAAATCTGGAAATATTATTATTTAATGAGGCACAACACAACATGTCACAAACTCACACGATGAGACTACTATGACATTTCTGCCAAGGTGCAGTGCCCTCAATTGCAAAAATAAATCACTGTATATTCGTAACACACATTCGTTACCATGCGTAATAACGTCACACGAGGTTTGTTTTTTTTTATATAAAGTGGTACTTCAAACTTCCAGACATCGAGTGCAACCAATTTTGTCATTAAAACGTGTACAATATCATTGAGACGGTGCGTTCTGAATAATTTTGACACTCGACTGTCAAGCCCAATATCAGATTAGTCGCTTAACCTACCCGGTGGCGTATGGGACATGAAAATTCCGTGGATTTTCTGATGACTGTCTCAAGTATCACGTGACGGTAAATATGGTCGCCAAATCTTATGCTTAGAGTTTCGGAACGGTCACACAGATGCCAGTATATGTGACACGCAGAGTACGAATTTACATTTAATATATTGACAAAAAATGCAGCTTGGGACGAATTGGCGATGATTCGTGCAAAATGTCGTACGATACAGTGTGTGATATATTGGACAAACCATCGTATGATGTTTTGTGAGATAAATTAACAAAGCTTTACGTGTCGCCATTTTACAATTTGGTGTAATTGTGTAAATTGTAATTATTTTGTCAGAAAACCATTCAAACCATTCTAACACAATGTTTTAAATTACAACGAAAAGCGGTAAATTTTAGTGTAAATTGAGATGAATGATTTTGTGACTTGAAGCAGTATTTTCAGTGGAATTTTTAAATTTTTTTTTTTTAAGTCACGCTGCAAATTTACGTGCAAAATACCTGAGCAACTCGATCAGATGATATTTAGATGAGATAGAGGAAGCTTCTGAGATAAGCCGGTTTCTGTACATCGGGAGGAAACTTCCTCTTTCGCTTGAAAATGATTTTGTGGCCAACTTATTATGAGGGATGTCCGGGAGTATCTTCTTTTAATTATTTTTCATTAGGAGCTTTTGACTATTAATCAGCTTGAGTGTCGGTGTCCATGAAGGATTTTTCAATTCTCAAAACCCAATTAAACTGATCAAATTTGTGATAGTACTTGGTTTTTACAGTGCCTCCTGTGGACGTCAGAGCAAAGAAATGCCAGCAACAGATTCATGGACATCGGCAAGGTTCAGGCAGTGCATTCGACATGCGAAACGGAGAAACTCAGAATGTGGTCACTGGAGGATCATCTCGACCAGCAGAAAGGAAAAATATATTTTCAACTGGAAATTTTTTGAATAAAAATTTTAGTGGTATTTTTGCGCGTTTTATTTCATCATGAAAAAATCAAACGATGCGTCGCACAAAGCTACCTAATAGACAGTCCAATGTTCTCGTACAAAATTCGTAATCATTGGTACTAACATTTGCTCTGTGTCGAATGACAAATTTCTTATGCTGAATCATATGCTCGTAAGAATTACATTGTTTCTCCTATGTTTAAGATTTAGATTTATTTCGTCACAGCATGTACATATCAGTCTTTCTTTCGGCCATCGCCGTCTTAGCGTTGGTGACCAACCTCCAGGACAAAACGATGGAAAAGTCCCTTCGCAGGTTGTATGTTTATTGTGTCTCATGGTGAAACAAATACGATACAAAAACATGAGACATCGTACGACACGCGGTTCCATGAGACTTTAAAAGGACAGTCAAATTTCCCAAAAATGCGCTCCACACACGCTTTTTTATCATGGCGAATTAAAAAAGAATAATTTTTTATTAAATTCCTTCTTCACAAAATGATAAAATTTTGTTATTTAATTTTATTCTATAATAGTAATAATAATAATTAACATAATATTATAATTATTCATATTTTATCTATACGAAACAATGTCATTTCATTCACTGGGCAAAGGAGAAAACACAGTCATGCAAATCACCCCAGGGGGGAAACTCGGAGTACAGACAATTTAACCGAGAAAAAGGCAGAGAAAAACAGATTCAGGAGAGGGGTGACAGCCAAAGGTTGGCATTTAATGAAGGAGAGCAAGGAAAAGGCCAGGAGCCATCGCAGGAGGCAACCATGCAAGATGACGAGAAGCAGGCGCGACAAGGGAGCTCAAACAGTTAAATGCAATTTACAATCGCGCCCACTATTGTGCCTTTGTTTTAGTTTTTGTTTTACACTCAAGACCATCAGCACGATAATGCAAGCACACCTCGACGCGGCATCACCACATCCTGCCGCAGATGAATGGGGTGTTTGCCCCAAGTGATTTTTAAGCATGGTAAAAGTAAAGAGTCTAGCTGAATTTGGTATAGCCTATGAGTACAGCTGAAAGTACCCCACCCCACACTCTGGTGTTGATCAAGCAGAATAATTCTGTCATTTCCATCGATTTACTTTCTGGCCAATAGAGTGCTGTAGTAGCAACTATATTAATTATCACTTTTACAATATGATAGAAAAACACTAACTACGCATTTTTCCGCCGAGTGAACTTTTGTTCTTTTGTTCAGCCAGACTGGGCAGAATTCGCGAGAAAATCGCAGAAAGCGCGCGGCTGTAATTTTGAATTGAAAAGGGGAAAAGGGCAATATCTGGAATTGAGGATCTCAGCGAGAAAGGAGGTATATGGCGGAAATGTTTGCCGTGAAATTCTCTATAACTTCAATCATATCGTGAATTTTTGCTTCCTCGCGGGGCGTTTTATGTGATTTTTCAAACACCCGAAAAAAGACACTTTTTTGTGCCTCTCTGGGAATTGTGGTCATTTTGATCCTCTAGAGTAATTTTGGCGATCTGGACATGTTCAGGGAGTTGTAGTCAATGAAACCAGCTTTCCAAATCTATGCGACTTTTAGCGATCGGAAGAGGAGTTTTGGAGATTTTGCCCTTTCTTTGCGGAAGATGTCGAAAAAACAAAAAAAAATTCCTCCGTAAATCGAACCAATTATAAACTTTCCTATACGAGGTTTTACTCTGGGCCCAATGGGTGTTCAACTGTCCAAGAATCATCCAAAAGCAAATACTTTTGTTTCATTTTGCAGGACTGTGAATTTGAAACACCAATAACACTAGGCAACAAAAATCACACTTTTATCTGCCATTTTTTGAAGTGTAGATTTTTTGATTCCTTGAGTCATCAGCTTTTCAACGGTACCTTCCTTTTTTTCTCTAGACCCTCAAGTTTTCCTTTCAGAGCCTATTTTCCATTTTCCCATATTTTCACCCACTTTGCCGCACTTATGTGCTCATATCTCGCCCAATTTTCGACGACGATGCCCACGCGAAAAGTTAGCCCTTTCCCTACTTTTTTCTCTTCTGTCGCGTAGGATTGCACGGGTGAGTGGCAACATTGATATTTCTTACTATCACCACGGTACTTCTTCTTTAAAAAAATGTCTGTAATAAGACGAATATAAACACTGAAAGGTACACAAAGTTTTTTACAAACACTCTTTTGTGCGCACTGGGAGGATTCGGGCAAATAAAATGTACGGTGAAATGGCAGGATGCTGCAGTCCTGAAGGTGATAAAAGACTCCAAGTGGTCTGGAACTTATTTTCCACCTCTCGTCCTCGACTTTGACCAAGGGTCTCGTCTCCATAGCATCTTGGGCCTTTGGTAATCCGACATGCGGCCTAAATCATCTCAGTTTTCTTTCGTAATTAGAGGCAGCAATGTCTTGTACCCATATAATTTCTTCAGTTCGTGGTTACACTAAGGTACAGTAATTATTTGGTTGAATTTGCATGCTACGTCGCCGGTGACCATGTATTTCGTTTTGGCTTCTTTTATCTTCAGCTCCACGTCCTCCGCCGACGAAACTATTCCAATGAATGTCTCCGTCACAATCAGCGTTGAATGGCCTATAATGTTGATGTTGTCTGTGTAGGCCGACATCTGCAGGGACCCGAATAGATGCCTGCTTTCTCATTATACCCGGTTTTTCTCACCGCGTTCTTCGCGGTCAGGTTAAAGAGAGTCGAGGACAAAAAATACCATTTCCTGAGCTCATCCTGTAAACTTCTGTTGTTACGGAGAATTTGAAGAATGCGTGATAAACAAATGAGACCCACGATCCTCCGGAAATAATCTGTGGTCGATCCGCGTAGACAGATACTCCGACCAGAGATGGTCTAAGAGTTTCCGCGAGAAACTGTGCTCGCTTAGATCAGGCCTTTTCAAAACATTGAGGCGAGGTAGGGATAAGACATTTTCAGCAACTCAAGTCTGGGCCTGGGAATAAGAGCAGGAATACCATCCCGACACGGTCTTGTTCTGGTGGAGTTCAAGTAGCTCCCTCTCACAAAAAAGACCCGTAGCGTTCTGTACATGAAAATATAAGACAGTGGAACGATATTAAGCTTGAAAAAGTCTCCAAACAAGGATTCGCGTTTTGGTTTGCGTAGCATCGCCTTCAAGGCGCTCCTCTGAGCTGTCCTGGCCGGTCCAATGTTCGATGCGCGACCTCCTCTCCAAACCAATAAGCCATAGCGCAGGCGTGAATCTATACAAGCATTGTAGAAGGTGCGCGCTATGTTTGACGGAACCAGACGACGAATGTGGTACAGGCCGCTGATCGCAGGGAGTAGACCATTTTTCAGTTTGACCGCGTGGCGTAGGTCAGCCCACTATCGAAGATCACCCCCAGATATGTGAAGTCAGTGACAAATGGGATAGTCAGATTGGATGAACAAGGCGCTCCACTTAATTCAGCTTAATTCCCTAAAAATCGCCTTTAAAGTACTATTTTTGCGACTTTTCTAGACCCTTGCTCGAAATCTCAAAATTTCTAAGCGAGAATCAAATTGCATGTCATGTTTCACGAAGAAAATTTCAAGCACCAAGCAAAAGTGAGGTTATGTCAGACTGTCAAAACGCTGTGTTACCAGTCCATAGTGTACTGAAACATCTCTCTCTACTTAACCCTGAAGGAAGAATCTCTACTTAACCCTCCAAAGCCCGTAATAGTGTTTCACGCGAATAGTGGCTTTGTTTATAAGTAACAACACATAATCAATTCGGCAACAAAATTCTCGTTTGAGAGTGATTTTCAATTTCACTTGTTTTATCTAAACAGTAAAGGTTAACATGTGCAAATTTTCGTCAATTGCGAACCTCAAGGACTACAATTATTGTGTGAAGGATAGCAATTGATTCATGTGAAAATCTATGAGGAGATTTCAAAAAATGAAACTTCCTCAAAACGAAACAGCCCTGTTTACCCCTAAATCCCCGCTCCTAAAATTTTATTCTCCAAATATACCAGAAATATTTTGGCCTAGGTAATCCTTCTGATATGAGCTTATCTAATCACTAATTTTGAAATAAAATAATATACTTGAAAATAAATAATAAACTTTGGGGACGCCCTGTATACTAAATAATTATGTGGAATCTTATATCGTTTTAAATTTGAAGGCTAGTTAGGTCAAAGTTTAGTGCTTTATCGAGTAGATGGTGGGCGCGTAAAACAGCTGAGTCATGAATTGGTTTTGGAAGCAATAGTTCGCCCCATAAGTCAGTTTATGGTGAGAGGTGTTGCTGATCGGCAGTAATATGCTTTTTTCTGTAATAGTGGCTGTTCTCTTGGCACCGTATGCTCAACCGAGTGTTGGTGAGTCAATGTATCTTTAATGGGTGATGATTAAGATAGTATTTTAGATCTTTAAAAATTTTTATCTATACGTTTTAATGCAATTTATTTGAGTCACAATAAGCTTATTTGTATTTTTGACCGCTTTGCAAGTATTTATGTAACTGATGAGTAATCCACATTAGGTTTATACAGTAACTCCGAAATATGGTAGAATTTACAGTTAATCCAAAACAAATTGATCATATAACACTATTTGACGAACTCTTGAACATTACATATTGCAATAACTAAAGCAAAATTTAAAACTCAATTAATTTGTTATTATTGCTTATTGTCTTATATTCTTAGAATATATAAAACCAAAAGCTCAGTGGTTTGGAGCAGTTTAGCACATAAACTCTGTGAAAATAATATTTACGGCTTGAAAATTTTAAAATATGTTTAATCTATGCCCTTATTCCACCAGAAATAGTTGATTTGGGAATAGCAAGAAGAGAATACGAGCAAAAATTACTGATCAGAAGATAAAACTAGAAATGAATCCTTTCACCTAACTCAACACATAAACAATGCAACACTTAAATGTAGCATAACAATAAGTTGTATAATAATAATAATAATAATAATAATAATAATAATAATAATAATAATAATAATAATAATAATAATGATAATAATAATAATAATAATAATGATATTAATAATGATAATAATAATGTGAAAATGGAAGAAATGTACTAATGCAGTTAAAACTCACAGTGGGAGTCTGAAAATCTGTAGCAGAGGGAAATTGAGTTAAGAGAAAATAGCAATCATAAAGACAAATACGGATTTCCAATAGAACTAATTTAAAGAGGGGAAAACAAAAGACCATAATAAAAAAGGTTCGAAGGTGTCGATTAAAAAGATTAAAGGGAAGATCAGTCGACAAAGCACGGAAAGACGCTCACAACTAGCACCCAGGCTGTGGATATATTGAAATACATTTTGATAGGCATGTTATGAAAAAAGAATTTCTCTCCGAAATGTTGTCTGTGTGTAATAGAGTCAAGGTTTCTACACTGGCTATCCCATTTTCACTCAAATATTCAAATATAGCTTTAAATCTTAGCATCTCTAGCTAGGGGAATGCTAATAGTTTATATGTATTGTCACATACGCGAAACCGTTGGGGGAATCAAAAAGTTCTTTCAGACTGGTCATACTTCTTAGACATCAATAAACTTCGATTTCACATCTGTATATCTCTTCTCTTAGCAATTATTATCTCCTTACTTTAAACTCTCGATTAGTTTTCCTAATTCTAATAGAATTTTTTTTTACTTGGTTTGAGATCAATAATAAGATGTATGAGTAGATGTCGAGATACTAAAGTGAATTGCTATTTTGAAAACGTTTCCGTATGCTTTATTTATCTTTGGCGCATTTCCAGTGTATTGCGATTGCTCTTATTTTAATAATAACACAGTCCTACAAAATGAAACAAAAGTATTTGCTTTTGGATGATTCTTGGACAGTTGAACACCCATTGGGCCCAGAGTAAAACCTCGTATAGGAAAGTTTATAATTGGTTCGATTTACGGAGGAATTTTTTTTTGTTTTTTCGACATCTTCCGCAAAGAAAGGGCAAAATCTCCAAAACTCCTCTTCCGATCGCTAAAAGTCGCATAGATTTGGAAAGCTGGTTTCATTGACTACAACTCCCTGAACATGTCCAGATCGCCAAAATTACTCTAGAGGATCAAAATGACCACAATTCCCAAAGAGGCACAAAAAAATGTCTTTTTTCGGGTGTTTGAAAAATCACATAAAACGCCCCGCGAGGAAGCAAAAATTCACGATATGATTGAAGTTATAGAGAATTTCACGGCAAACATTTCCGCCATATACCTCCTTTCTCGCTGAGATCCTCAATTCGAGATATTGCCCTTTTCCCCTTTTCAATCCGCCTTATGCACTAAGAAAAATTGTGCGAAATAAGTGCGAATGTGTTTAAAATTGCTGACGGATAGGTGAAGGGTTGGATTTTACATCATAATATTACAATATCAACATAAGCACTACTTTTAACCTTTGGTGTTAACCGCATGTCGATATCTCTTAATGTTGAGACGCTAGAAGTCCGTTTGTCACGACGGACGGGCGAGACAACAAATTGAGGCGAAAAAATTACCCCTTCTCCTTTTCATAATTTTTAGCCTCCACGAGTCCATTTGAAATCTCTGTTAGGTAATATTGCAGCTAGGTAATAGGACTGATATAGACTAATTGAGGTGTTGAAAAAAAGGCTATATGTGTCAACAAGTATTGATAAGCGTCAAGAACTTTTACCCGAAAAGAAGTAACTGAGATATGACAGTGAAACTGTGAAAGACGGTTTAACCAACTCTAATAAATTCGTTTATCTGCCGTATCATTGAAATAATTTTAGGATGTTATTATATATTTGTTAAAACCCGTCTAAGCATAAAGGTTATAATTGTAACATTTAGTTAAATACGGAATTCATATTTTTGTTATTAAAAATTTAGATTTGAACAATAATTTATCAATTTGCCTACCGAAACTACTATAATATATCAGTACATAAAATTGAAATCAGTATTTTAAGGATTTGCTTGCCTTTTTTTTTATTCCCTCCTCACCATAATAGGTCTGTAGTCGGTGATGACTATATAGGACCGAGATCCAATTTATACATAGACAGCACACACTCATAAACACATATATCATAAAAAAGAATAACAATATAACAGGTACAGCAAACGAACATTTAATAAATATATCACATGAGTCTATCCTGCTACATCGCCACCTCGTGACTACGCAGAAAGTTATTTGCTGCCTAATGATTAGAAAAAATCCTAACAGACTAATAGGAGTTTATTAAGAGTATAATAGGACTAATAGTAGTTAAAGGTGTCTCAAATAAACTCTAATGGTAATTGGGGAACTAATAGCATTTATATGTTTTTAGCGTCTCTTGAGGTTACGATGCGTCTGTGCTGTCGTTTAGGTAATGAATGGGCAATTACTGGCGTCAATTGTTCTGGATATACATTGGCGACTGACTCTAACTTAGCGATAGAGCTTCGTCCATTATGTCTCGCAACAGTTGAGATTTGTTGTGTGCGTCAGCAACGTCATTTACAATGTGTGGCTGGTCAGTCGGCTGCCAAAAGAGGTGTCACATGCAAAAATGGGCTCACAAATCTCCCAGAGCGCGCTTATTATCGTGACTGCTGTGAAGCATGTAAAGTGGGACTTGTTGCCGCTTCCTTAGCAACCTGTGCGCCCTTCAAGTTGGGATCTCCCTGGAGCGAGGTAATGGAAGCGTGTTGTGCCGAAGCAGCTGTACTAAATACATCAACAATTTGTACCGGCGCCACATGTCACCATATATGTGAGCTTACCGGCGATTCTTATAATTGTAAATGTCACAACGGTTTTACACTCACATCTGATGGCCACTCCTGTATCGTGGCCAATGTATCACAACCAATATGCGAAAATGGGTACGCTTGGAATACTACTATAAACCAGTGCGCAGGTAAGAACAGTAGTAAATATATGTAGCGGAGGTAAGATTTACTGTAGCTTTTTCTCAAAAAAAAATCAATTGTAACAATTTTAAATGGAAATTATACGAAATGATAAGACTGCTTAAAACGATAAGTAGTACTAGGAAACTTAATAAGAATTCGTGGATTCGTTAAATTTTAAATTTCTTCATACTCATTTCGTTAAATTTCTTACAGAGAATTTAAAATCTTATCAAAATACATTAAAGATTTGCCAAGATACAGGTATTCAAATTTAATTCAGAAAGGCGGCGTTCTTGATGACGTCACAGACTAATGGTGGACGTCAGCTAATTACATTACATTTATTTAATCACAGCGGATACATTTATCACAGCCTAATTTGCGGCCATCGCCGTCTTAGTGTTGTTAACCAACCTTCAGGACAAAATAATGGAAAAGTCCCTTCAATGGTTGTATTTTTCACGAATTGTGAACCTGAGATGAGAATTGCATGTAAATATCTTACCGTTTAGGCGCTGCAGACTAAGGTGTAGACTTGATTATGACAAGAAATGAACAGACAGACAGATTGTCAAACTTTATCTTATTTAACCTCCCTAAGTCAACTTTGGACGATTTTTTGTCATGCGATGTGCTCGGGCAAAGTGGTGAAAGGCTGTTCCGATAACTTCTAAAGATTACAAGAGAGTAATTTATCCTGTGTGAAACAGAAGTAGCATAATGAGACCAAGATAGAGTCGAATTAAAAACAAAACAAAGATTTTTTAACTGATCTGTATAAGAGATAATTTTTCGTTGAGGAGGAGCCTTGAAGAATGAAACCTTGCCATTTACTTTGAAATAGTGATACCCTTCAACTTACTAAAATTCATCAACAAAACATCTTTGCGCCCCACAAAAACAGCCGCTAGAGCATGCATTGAGACACTTCGCTGTGAGATTGATATTCACAGAGAAACATCCGCCGTTAAACAACGGACTTTCTAAATGCCTGTCATGACGAGTGACTGACAGTGTGACTGTGGAGGCAATGTGGAGGTAGACACATCACCACAAGGGGTGGCTGATGTCTGAGATGCAGTGTCACTTGATCCAAGATGCAGTAAAAATGCATCGGAGACTTTATCGGAGATGCCGAGATAGAGTTACAAATGTTTAAAAAATCTGAGCACAAGTGCGCCTCAGCTCAGTCACATGTGAATACAAAATCATTCCGATCGGTTAATTAGGAGCAGAGTTATGGCCATTTTTATTTGAAAAATTTGAATTCATGCCATAGAGACTAATCAAATAAGGAAAGTGCATTTCGCAGGTGTTTAAAATGGCGGACGGAGGGGTGGGGGGTTGGATTTGACAAAAAAATTTCATTACCACTGCATACTTTTAACCTTTGCCGCAAACCGCATGTCGATATCTCTTACCGTTTAGGCCCCAAAAGCGCGTTTGTCACGCTGGACTGCCGGACGGAACGACAAACAGACACGAAAATCAAAAGTGTCCCCTATTCCCATTTTCGTCATATTTCCACATGAGCCCATGTCATGAGCACTCAATGCTCTTCACAATGAAATCATTCGAAGAGAATCGAAATTTTTTACGCGATAAATCAGTAAATAATATAATACAATATTCATATTTTTTGGTCGGGATCGTATTTAATGTGTAAATTAAGATATTGTCTACCGTCCGAGCATTTCAGCATGATAACGTTTACCATAGAAATAATAGAAATTGGGTACTTTGTAATGCCGGTAATGCCATATAATATTCTCGAGATGGCTGAAAATTGTGCTCGATATGAAAAGATAAGACGCCGAATGGAGTTAGCAAATATTCTTATTGTGCATTTAAATATTCGCACCAGCGAGCGTTCGTATCGAATACTTTTTGATATCACCGCCACCATTATTGGTCGTGTGTCCATGATAGAGAGGCAACTTTGGGCAAATATCGTGGAAGCCCTCAGATAGTCGCCGCAATCCCTATGAAAAGTTGCTCGATGTGTTTCAGGCGAATCTGAAGACATCGAGAGGGCGCCGAAAGGCCTATGACGACGTTCTCAGGGCTTAATTTTGCTCATTGGGTAGCCACATTTTGCATCACCAGCAAATAACCTTCAAGGACCCTGCGTCGAGGACGAGAGGAGGAAGACGTCGCGCTAATCGCGGCGGTGATACGGTTCTGCAATGTGAAAATAATAAAACAGTGGGAGAATATCGAAATGAATGTGTTTGTCACAATAAAAACAACCAATTATTAAGCAGATTAATACTTTCCAAAATACCGTCACTCTAATTTTGTGCATACTGAACATACATAAACAATTCTTCATGCCTAGTTTTTAAATTTGATGATTTTGTGTTCATTGAGGAATAACGCATAGGAGCTGTGAAGTAAATCCAAATCTTAATAGCAATGCGACTATACCAACTAGTGGAAATACGATTACACTATAGTTGATAACATGACATAACTTTCAAAATTCCTATTTTTATTTCAGATATCGATGAATGTATTGACAATGCTCGCTGTAGCCATACCACGTGCCTGAACACATTAGGAGGATTCACATGCGAACCAGAAGTTACATCATGTGAAATTGGTTTCAAACGCCATGCGGGTAAGTGCATCGATATTAATGAATGTGAAACGGATCGTGACGCATGTGACACAAATCAAATTTGCACGAACGAGCCTGGCGGTTTCCGGTGCGACTGTCGCACTGGTTTCTCGATGGATCCCGTGACGAACGCTTGTATAGACATTAATGAATGCCAAATCAACATCCATGACTGCCACGAAACACAGCGATGTGACAACACCATTGGATCATATTCTTGCATTCGTCTGCAGAGCTGTGGTACTGGATATACATTGAACGCAGGTACAGGTCTCTGCGATGACGATGACGAATGTAAGCTAGGAACGCATAACTGTGAAATCCAATACGAATGTAAGAACACAAAAGGATCTTTCAGGTGAGTGAGCTTCGGTTTCATATAAAGTAATGTAATAACTATTATTAAGATGTCCACATAGTGCTGGTGAAAATATAATAAAAAGACAATTTCCAATTTCAACTACATGTGAGTAGTAAGTATAGCTCAAGAGCCAAGTTTGATGTCACACAGCGCAAATGCCAAGTCTGACGTCAGACACTCCGGTCAGGGAACTATGGCCAATGGATGTCAGAACCTGACTTTTCTGCTAACATGAAATTTTCAAAATTTCGTTATTCCACAAGTCAAATAACTTCACGAGAAAATGGGTCACATAGAGATCGTGTTATATGGTGGGGATTGTGTTGCACTCGGTGATCGCAGTGTGGGATTTGGAGTACAAAATTTCGGGAGATGGGAGGGGACCCGCATGACGGTAGCACAAACCCGATCTGCTACGTGACGTGGACTGTTGCGCCTGGAGATCGCAAGAGTTGTGGGATTGTGTGGTGGAGATTTAAAATTCGGAGGAGATGAGAGGGGATCGTACTTACAGCGTGTGAAAATTTAATCATAGCGATGAGGAAAAATTTGACACTCATATTGGATCACTTCTTAGCGCTGACTTAGATTCAGAATCATATGATTGTGAGTTCACATTTCTCATAATTCGAAGGGACTTGCGCTACTCCTGATCAGTTGTTTACTATGAAGTGGGTGACTGTTCATATGACGCTATCATATGAAAAAAAAACCGCATCACCATTTCTTTCAGTATGTTAACATTTTTTTGTAACTGGGTCTCGGTACACGGGCATTTAGGACTTCTCAACTGTTTTCTCATTGTTCGTTCTTGTTCTAACACATGTTGACACAAGATTGTTATTACTTTAGGCGAAATTAATTGCAATTCATGCAAGCGCGAATGCTACAGGACTTTGCGGTTTGAGTACAGTTTACTGAACATTATTTTTTGTGATTGATATATTATCTATGTAATATTATTTAAAACGCTTAAATGGGGTATTCGTCGCCTGTTTTATCCGTTTTCCACTTCTTCTTCACCCAATTTCTTATTTCTTAAACGGCAAACTCCATTTCGAAGATGTTTGTTTCTTAAATGGTAAACGGTCAATATATTTCAAGAGTGTTAGGGTATTAATGGGGAATTGATCGCAAGCTTTATCCAGAAAAGAGCTAGTGCAAATTCATCTGAAACAACTAACACTTTCCATAACCGTTGGAGACGATGGTACAGAAAAACAATCGAGAGATATTATTGTTGCACATTTGTTCAAAATACAAGTCCTAAACTCTGACAAGAGTTTGTAGAACTGACGGAACTGTCATTGAAAAAGAAACAGAATTGTGGAAAAAAAAGTTTTTTTTTCGTTTATTTGCTTGCTTCAAATACAGTCTTAGTATATCTTATTAATAAATGAGTGAAGCTTTATTTCAAGGACATCAACAAAAAATTCTCTTTTTGTCTATTAATTTTAGTATAAAATGGATTTCGAACTTTAAATCTAATGTGAATCTTTTTCGGCCAGATATTTTTGTAACTATGTGTGTGACGGAACAAAGGCCAAGAATGCTCAACTCATTTCCACTCCGTCACAACGTTTCGGAGTTATTTATTTCTCCTTCTTCAGGTGGTACAAAAAGATATTACAATATGATATTTTAAGTAATTATGTGAAAAAAATAAACAGGAAAAGATCGCATTGAATTACTGCGGGTGTTTGGGATGTAAGCTAGTAAATTCTTCTCAGATCACCACCTTTCAATCCCACTGCCACAAACTGTACGATCGACATTCTCTCTTCAACTGATGCTCAAATTCAAACTCCCGTCATTTATTCCTCCTTGAAGCTAAAAAACTGTTCCTCTTGCTCTGCTCTTCAGCTCATCACCCGTCTCTGTTTTACTTCTTGTAAAATGCCCGCATAAATGCTGTTCACATTGAGGCAGTCTTGTTTTTTATTCACATTATGCTGCTTCGTAAGGTGTATGTGGAGAGCTTACAATGTTTCCAGTGGGCCATTTCTTATGTTACGGTCCAATATGCTTACCTCACTGAACAAAAAATCATGGCCATCTATTCAGGATTTAGTTATGAAAGCACTCGCAACGCCAATTGATCGCCTCATTTGTCTTACACTCCTCACATGCTGTCCCACTCTGTCCTTTAGCCGCTGCACTGTCTTACCCATGTACACCCTCTCGCAGAGGCAAGGAATGAAAAAAACCACACCACTTTCCATCAATGTGGGTATTTTTTGTTTTTGGTTTGTGTGTAAACCAGCGACAGTATGTGCATAACAGAACATAACACGGGTATTTGGTATCTCCCTCTGTAGTATGTGTCGCATTTTTTCACTTAGTGTGGAAATGTTAGTGATTGTCCGGTATATTATTAGCTAGTATATACATCAGGACTCAGGTAACCTTAAAGTAAAGAAATATGATGAAAATAGTGGGGGGACACCTTTCTGATTTTCGTGTCTGTTTGTCGTTCCGTCGTGACAAACGCGCTTGTGGGGCCTTAACGGTAAGAGATATCGACATGCGGTTTGCGGCAAAGGTTAAAAGTATGCAGTGGTAATGAAGATTTTTTTGTCAAATCCAACCCCCCACCCCTCCGACCGCCACTTTGAACACCCCCAAAGTACACTTTCCTCAATTATTCAGCCCCATCTGGCATGAATCGGACTCAAATTCTGGTATGTTATAGCTGACCTCAAGATCTTTTCAAAGAACCGCCACTTAAGGATCTAGGATCTTCCTGACCTCAGATATAACAGTTCAAATTTTAAAAATTAAAATGGCCATAGCTCCGCTTCTAATTAACCGATCGGAATAATTTTGTATTCACTGGAAAGGTCTCGTAAAATACCATCTCCCACACGAACAATATAACTTCACTGTAGCTGTAACTCCGAAACGTTGTGACAGAGTGGAAATGAGTTGAGCTTTCTTGGCCTTTGTTTTCATAGTTTAAATCTAATTTTACATTATAACTTTAAATATAATGTTTATATTTTGCTTTTCATTTTAACCTCTATGATAGTACGGTATGTATAATAAATATTCAGCGACACAATTAGAATCAGCACACGTTTACTAGGGATTAACTGAGCATATTGATGAGTACAGATTTTTAAAATTGTATTGCCACTTAATTCTTGAGATCATCTGCGCGCCATTGCCATCTGGATCTTTACTTTTCTCAAATGAGAGCGGAATGCGATAGATCACATGCGACTTTGTGTGAAGAAAAGTGTGTGATGTTTCGAGAGGTAAAGCCTCCTCCTTTATCACGAACAACGGATGATTTTTCGCAAATCGACAAGACTTTTCTCGCGTTGATGATGTCTCAGACACGACTTTCACGCTCACAAAGCACATTTATCATTTCAAATTAGGTTTTCCTGCACATAGAAAAATTGGACTTTAAAAATATTCAGCATTCTTTTTGCTGTTAGTTGTCCCTACTGGCATCTGTGTATTTTGTATAGATTTGACATCCTGCCATCTAGTCCCGCTGACTTGTACCGAACGAAAGGGTTAAAAGCCCCCAAAACGACATATGGAAAATAAATTAGCTTCTAACGTCCTTTAATTTTTTATAAGTTTTCTTTCAAATGATTTTCTAATGTGTGCTATTTTAGGTGCGAACGGCTTCGTGTGGTAATACCTCATCTTTTGAATGGTGCCATTTGCGAAGTTGGCTATCGATCTGATGATCACGGTCGATGTTTAGATGTGAACGAGTGTGAGGAAGGCACAGCCGCTTGCGCAACAGGTCAATTTTGTCGAAATAAGCCAGGAGGTTACGTATGTTACTGTCCACCGGGTTACGTATTGGGGAACAAACGATATTGTGAGGACATTGATGAATGCTCAACGAACTCCGCTTGTCCAGCGCACACTCTCTGTGTTAACACTCCTGGTAGCTTTCGTTGTGAATGCGGAAATGGCTTTTCTAACAATCGTAAGTTCGCTCATAATTCTCGGTTAAAATTCCATTTGAATATGACAAAAAGTGAAGTGCGTATAAGAGTATCTCAACTACATAATATACGATTTTTTTTTTAAATTCTTTGTTCTAAATATTAAAGCTATAAAATAAAAGTGAAATAGGATTTAAAAGAGTGGATTAATTCACACCTCGTGAAGAAATAAAGGAAAATATGTCAATGAGCCTCTTTATGCCGAGCCAAGTTAAATGCTGGATTTATCATTAATGTAGCATTTAACAATATTCGGCTTTATTTTAGCCCATGGTGTTGATACCGGGACACACGCGCTTAAACTGAAATCGAATCATGTCGAAACGCGACGCGCAGTCACGAATGACGTTCAGTGAGGATGTGTGTGAGAATTTGACAGCCCACACGCATGCGCAACCGCGCAGTTTGAGCCAACTTTTAAGTCCATGTCGGACTAGCTTTATTATAAATGCTGCATTTATATTAAAGCCGACACGGCATAAAGAGGCTCAATGTCCCAAATGCTTTAAAAAACAAAATAAAAACATCACATATCCGGACTTTTATCAATATACTTTAGAACATGTACTACATTTTTGATGACTTCATTTTATTTCAGTTACAGCTGGTCGTACATTTTGCATGGATGTTGATGAATGTGCAAAACCTGGAATTTGCAATCAACATTGTGTGAACTACTGGGGTTCATATAGATGTACATGTGAGGCTGGATGGCGCCTATCTGCAGACAACCACACATGTGATGACTTGAATGAGTGCGAAACTCGCCGTTCGTATGAGTTATGTGTCGGTGGCTGCGTCAACACACGTGGCTCTTATATATGTACTTGTCCTACCGGTTATCGTCTAGGCACTGATGGTCGCAGTTGCTTGGATGTGGATGAATGTGCGGCCAACGTTTGTCAAAGTAATGAAATTTGCACCAATACACGTGGCAGCCATCGTTGCTACCCCGTAACTTGTCCTAGTGGATACGCGATAGACACCGAGCGACGAAATAGATGCCGTCGTATTTCATTGCTTTGTGATCGCGATGACCTTGACTGTTTTGCACGTCCAAGTTCTTATTCCTTTAATTTCATCACACTTGTAGCCAATATGTCTGTTCCACCGTTGGGACGTGCGCTTTTCAATCTTAAGGGCCCAAATTGGTGAGTAATTATTTCCTATAGTTAACAACCAACCTCAGAAAAAGAAGTCTCATTTAATTGCAGCGCTAGCATAGGCTTAATACAGGAAACACAACTTTTCACATTTTGAGTTTTTAAGACGGAATATGTTATTCTGTATTTCAGCGCTAAGCATTTTAACTTTTCAAGTATTATATAGCTGCGATTTACATCACAGCTAATATCTGTAATCGCGCAAAAAATCGAACCGCGAAAAAACAAGTCCAATCGGCTCAAGTAACCGTAAACTGACGAAATAGAACGAAAATGGGGGAAGAGGGGTGGCATTTTTTGTTTTTCGTGTTTGTTTGTCGTTCCGTCCGTCCGTTCGTCGTAACAAACGGGGTTTTGGGGCCTAAACAGTAAGAGATATCGATATGCGGTTTGCGGCGAAAGTTAAACATATGTATTGCTTAGGAACATTTTGATGCCAAATAATACAACCCCCCACCTCTTTTGCCGCCTATTTACCAACCGATGCCAATCATCTCTTCACCAAAAGACGTGTCCCGACGCCCTTTAGTATGCCATATTCATTATTAGTCTAGATTAACTAGATCATGCTTTTCCTTTAAATTTTAGTATGTTGTAGTCCAGGTCAACACGTCTCTAGAAAAAGGTTTTAGTTTATTGTGGATGCAAAAGAACCGTAATTATGACCGTTGACTTTATTAAAAGCTGTCTTTTAAATAACACATAATTAAATATTTCTGACTGCTTTATCATTTCTCCTAAATTTCAGGTATGATAACATAGACTTTTTCTTGCGTGTGGTAAATGTGGAGGCACCTCCGGATATTTTTCTAGCCAGCGACACATCCTTTACACTTCGAAAAATGCACAATGAAGCTTTACTAAGTTTGGTAGAGGCTCTTCAAGGACCACAAGATGTGGAGTTGGAGCTTAGCATGACAGTGTACAAGGATCACTTACCAGCCGGAAGTAATATTGCCAAAATCTTCATTTTCGTCAGCGAGCATACATTCTGAGTGATGCCAAATATAAACAAAATGTAAAGGTACAAGTCTATATTTAATTTATATACATTTTCAAATCAACGCAGAGGGGAAGATGAATGTGGTTTATTACAGTAACGCACTACAGGATAATGAAAAAGTTGTTTGTTTTGTAATGAAACAGTACTCGTACAATAATTCGTACTTTAATAACGTAACTACAGATCAAGTTAATCAAGTATTACTTCCAAATTTCCTTTAAAGTTTAGACAAAAAGAGTTCCACAACGACAGTTTAATAAAATCCTTTCCTTTTAAGTAAAACGGAAAAAATGTTACGTATCTAACAGAATTTGTGTTTGGAGTCACGAGTAAAACTTTTAATAAAATGTCCTCCTATTTTAGCGGAACATATTACAGAGACATTTTTTAGGGAACGATTATAATCTCATTCTTGCCAATATCTTTGCGCAAACAGTACGCTAAATCTCACATTTGGTTCCTGACTTAAGCTTTTTTATTTTCATTATGAGCTAGTTTTGTGAGTTCCATATAAAACTGCGCATTTCGAAATCAAAATTCTGAAAATAATTATTCTTATTCCGCGAATGTGTTCTAATGTCAACATGAAAGAATTTTACAATGCGATTTTGCGATTCACGTGGAAAATAAAATAAACGTATCCAGAGATGAGATGTAGAAAATAACTAAATATTTCTAATTACTGTGAATGAATGGTTTGACTTTAATATTTGTAATATTAACTTACAAAACTGCACACTATTGCTAGACTTTTTCGCTATCCAAAAAGTCTGTGTATCTTTGCTGTATCTTCCAATAAATTGAAAGGCTTAAGGACAATATCGTTCCAGAAGCTACATTTGTATATTACAAAAAAAGAAAATGAAAAAGAACACAATGAGCATCATAATTTGGCACACAGTCGCGTGGTGGTGGCATCATTATACTGAGTCAAAGCCTGAGATGTCGCTTGTTTTGTCGGGCGGATAGTAAAGATGTGTGTGTGGCAACAACACGGTAGAACTCGTGTCTTGCTCTACTATATTAACATCTTTCTGAAGACATTTAGTAGGCGGCTGTACTGTAGTTTCGTCGTAAGAACGTACTTCGGACTGATAATTTTCTTGCCAGTCAGATTCACCTACAATTGCGCTTACCTCAAAGCCCGCTGATACTAACGCCCCTGCAAAATTTTCTTGTTTAGATGATGCTGAATTTGTGAGACTGACATCGAGGTAGTTAAGTAGCTTCGGATTGCACAGACTAGAGACGCTCTGTCGCGACTGATACTTAGCCCTTTGAAAGAAGGTAAAATATGTAAAAAATTAAACAATGTCAGTTTGTGAAAGATATTTTGTCTTAATAGTCATGAACGTAGGTACACCACAGAATTGGTCTAAACCGAAATTTTTTTTAATCTCATTTATAGATAAAGTAATTTCATATACACTATTAACACGCCGAACAAACTCAACCTTAATAACAGTTGAGGGAATTTTTTCTTCAAACAAAGATTTTTCTCTTAGTCTAATATCTTTCTTCACTATAATGCTTTTAAGCTTTCCCGCTCCTGTGCCATAGTAAAGTAGACAGCACCGAGTTGAATGCTAAACAAATTTACAATTTTATTCTCATAGACAAAAACAGGAATTTGAAATACATTCTTTGCAATGATTTTATTTCCCAACTAAATTTAAATTAAATACAACCATAGCAATATTTTATTTTGTTTCATTCGATATCACATATTATTAGCTATACAATTGAACAGAACTTTTGAAAACAAGGGATGCAGTGTCACTTAATCTAAGATGTAGTCAAAATGCTTCAGAGATGCCGAGATGCAGTCAAAATGTATCGGAGATGCTGTTATAAATGCTTACAAATTTTTAGAATTTGCATCTCCATGCATCGCAATGCAAACGAGATGCAAGATGCTGTGGCACGCAAAACCAACATTAGCCACCTCTTGTTTGAAAATTAAAATATGAAATTGGCGAGTTTTGTATGCATAACATATTTTCATTACCAGTTCAAATACAATGAGAAACTTGATAAATTTGGTGCCAATTGTCACATGATTTTTCGACTTAATTTGGTCGAAAAATATAAAGATCACTTTTCATTACATTGCAAGACACGAATTTAATGCTGCGGATAGTAAATATTCTGGATAAACGCAAGAGAGAGAGCGATATAATCAAATTGCCTGTGTCTGATGCTTTGGGGAGATCGAGAGCCGTAAACAAACTTCACAACGTCACAACCCTTGACCTGATCCTAACTACGTCTATGCGAGAAGTCTCATGTCGCGATCTTATAGTATTCATGAAGAAAAAATGTCGGAATAGCAGTCGATTTTACCAGATGTGTTTATGTGGACAAAACAAACTACAGTATCGGCGATTATTACCGTATTAATGTCCATTTAATGGACGTAGATTAATGTCCATTTTCATCTAATATTGCTGTGTAAATTGTCGTCAATGGTGCCTGCAAAGTGCAATTTGTGACAATAGTGTATCTTCAGACTCTGTAAGTTAGAAAAAATCTTTCTGAATACAGAATAGAATTAATTCCTAACTTTACACATTAGGGTCTGATGATAGCGATATATTGGCCGAAACGTTACCATGATGAATAATAAATACACCTGATAAAATCGACTACTATTCCGACATTTTTTCTCCCGATCTTCCGTATAGTCATTAATTCAACATCTTATAGTGTTCATTATACACAGAACACCAAATTACACTTTCGTAATATTTATATGTGTAGCACCTAAAGAAAATATTAAATCTCTAAAAAATTGTGTTTAGAGTGAAACCAGTGGACCTCACTGGCCGTTATCCAAAAAAAAAACAATAAAAAAAATCAAAATAATTAATATTATTTGGCTTACCGTGGAATCATAACTGTTAGAGCTTGCTCATTGTCACTAGGTTGTATTACATCATCGCTTGTTTCACTAGCATTATCCACAATAGCTCGACAATCTACTTTTCGAGATCGCAAACTCATAACTGGAACAATGAGTGTACCGCAATGTCGCCGGGTTGAACATCGTTCTGTAGTCATAATACAGCCTATGAGTATACAGACTAGAATAGCGGCTAGAGTTGCAAGGGCAATGAGTAATGCTTTCAAATTGACACGACATGTAGTTCCGCTGTACCAAGCAAAGCACTCACAACGTGCAACCGCCCTGAAAACAACAGAATCACAGAACAATTTTTAAATAATTTTTTATTATATTCAATATTTTATTCATATGATAGTAACATGTTATACAGTTAGTCTTCTGAAGAAAACAAATACTTAATTTAAGTTATTCAATTAAGGATTAGTCCCCGCCAGGGCTGTATTGATGGGAATGAGTTAAGGAGGAAATTAGTGAGTACAGTTAATGAGCTCGGTTAATATATTTAGTTTATATATTTAGATTATATAGTATTAATTATATTTTATATGTACGTGCACTCATATATGTATGGGTCTTAATATAGTAAATTGAAGATTTCAGATTCAGATAAATTTGTAGAGAAAACTAGATGAAAGCCTCTAGTTATATTTTCCGCCTAAAAGATCTCCCTTATTATGGATTTTTTAATGGATATTTTATTTTTGTCTTATTTTATTTTTTGACCTCTCCCAAAGTAATTGCGGCTGCCGCCGACTTCATTTCCGACCTTCCCGAGGAAAGCGGCAGAAACCTCGGATCATTGGTCGTATATGCTACACACTAGCTCTATACATTTACATGTTTGCAGACTTGTTTGGTTATGAGTGAAAAGCAATTGAATTTTGCGCACATATCACATAAGGAAAGGGTAGTGAACAGCAAAACTCTCAGGGGGAGTTGAATCGCTGCTCACGAGCTCAGTAGGATATAGCCGCAGGGGAGAAAGACATATGCCAGAAAACGATGAAAAAGTAAAAACCGAAGGAAAGGGTAAAAAAAAAAGCTGGGAAAATAGAAATTAAAACACACAAACACTAGAGGCTGAAATGTCACTGTGTGAAATTCATTTTACTTCATTTATTTAATTGCCGATCCACGGTCTCCGGGCTCCAAACCATGACCATCCCTCGTCCGGAGGTACTCTCCCTACTTAGCCATATTTATTTGGGTATAGTGTCAAGACTGACAAATTGCAAATGTGTGAGTTAATGACTTTCGCAATGTTCACAACACGTTGTGAAATTTTCATTGCCAATAAATCCGAATCATTGAACCATGTGTATTGGAGATTACTCCAACGCCTAACGTATTTCAACATGAAATTTTCACTCATTACTAAGATCAGGGCATTCAGCCTTCGAGAAAAATTGCGCGTCCCTCTGACGTCACTCCGGAAGAATTCTCCCTCAGAGACGCCACGACATCAGCACGTCGGCTTGAAAAATTATATGAATTTCAATAGTTACATGAACCTGTTTAAAAAAAATATCATTCAGCCTCTCCGGATGATAATTTACGCATATTCCCACAGGTGAAACACACAGAATAACCACATGTAACCACAAGGGTCCCACCGACAGTTCTATTGAATTATATCAATTCATCTGTGGTAAAAATGGCTAAAGACCTTAATGTCTCTCGTTTTGCTATTGGATTATGAACTTAATAATTAGTCTTTGTCTTATGGTTAATTCCTCCGCAAATATTGAGATCAATTCATTGCCGCTTATTTTATAAAGAGACAAATAGTAGAGGGCAACTCCATTGAATTATCAAGCTTCAACCTTTACAATAGTAAAAACTGTTTTAAATTGCGAATAAAAGATTTCAAGTATCCCAGTCTTGCTGTGTTTGATAAAATTGCATTCCCAGCAAGATTCTCAGAGATTCAAACCCACAACAGCAAAGGTTGACCCACTGTCGGTCAAACCATTTATTTGGAGGCAATATTCAGTTTTTTAATACTACTATTTAAAACTACTTACTTACTACTTACTGTGTTTATATTATATTTTACGAGAGATCCTCAAAGACATGACAAATCTCAAGTGGCAATTTTTGACTTAGACGTTGCAGACTTTCTTAGTCGCCCTCCCTCAAGACGTCCGCTTGTGGGCTTGCTCACGACTTTGAAATCTGTCTCGCCGAGACGCGATGCCCATAATTGCATACTTTGCAAAGTTTATCGCAATCACATGTGCGCGATTTTCTCAATTTTTCCCGTTTTCACGCATCAACGTGGTATTACTATGACTTCTGGTACATCAAAGAATGCTTATAAATGGCAAACTAGGATGACTTTCAGGATTAGTAAAATTAGTCTATTAAGGCGGTCACGTTATTGGTTTCCCCAACGAGTTTGTATGGTGTATGCTTCATTTGGTTTTCACTAGATCTTATCGCTGACTATTCATAAAAGGCGGTTCGAATAGCTCAATGTACTGCAGTACCACTAATTATGGTCACTCTAAGTGAAACAATATTTAGAGATGGCTTACCTGTTATCCGGAGGTGGTACACATATACCATGAAAAGTGCAGGTAGCGCATCCTATAGGTTCCGCTGAACAATGACGACCAGGGTAGAGAGTATTTTCAGACACATCAATGAATCCCTCTCGGCAACCGCAAGTGTAAGTACCACGTAGATTAAAGCAAATTGCGTCTGGCGAGCAGTCATGTAGTACCGCATAGCGACACTCATCAAAATCCACAGCCACTATGGATAAATCAGCGGCGAAAAGTTCTGTGCCACCCAAATTAAGATCACTAGAGCGCAAATACTTCTTAAATATATCTTGCAGACGTCTCTCATCGCTGTTATCACTCAGTTGTAAGCGAAAGTAAACCCATATCACGCCTGCATTTTTATCAGGTTCAAATCCATTGACAATTAAACCATAATATATATCATGTAAGTCGGACTGCATGGCAGCACGCTCAAGTGCTTCATGCGCCAAAGTTTGCATATGATGGAAACGTGCCGAAGAATTATTGATTAACGCAGAATCCCAAAACAGTTTTGCGCCACCCAAGCGCCCTAAGCGCATGCCCATGGCGTATGTGTATGTAGGTCGACATGGCCGATCCGGGAACATTCGCGCAAATCCAGCACGACATGCGCACTTAGAAAATGTACTGCTTTGTCTACATACTTCGTTGCGATCTGAACGGCAAGGAGGCCAACAATCTAATTCATAAGCCGTTTCAGTTGTGGTCGGTGTAGATGCCATCAGTATATCGCCAAGCATTGCGTGGCTTACCTGTTGACAAGATATCATTTTATATTATATAAATATATATTAGAGAGAGAGAGGTTATATAGGAATATATAGAGAGGAGAATGAAGAAGGGCATTTTTCAGCGTTCCTACCAGACAAACTCAAGATAATTACCGAGGAATGTTTTCAACGCAAAGAATTAATTCAACAGGGTAATACATATAGTCAATCCCCATGATAAGGCATCTTCATCCGCGAATGTCCCTGACATTGGGTGTGTTTTCGATGAAATTTTTTTCAGTTTCAATTTAGTTTACGGCAAAATTTTACGGAGACGTACTGATCTGGACTACAACATACTAAAATTTTGAAAATCGTTTTTTTTTTAGCGTTTGTCCTACCAAGTTATGATGTTTAAGTGGGAGATGGGATTTCATGAGACCTTTCCAAAGAATATAAAATCAATCAGATCGGTTAATTAGAAGCCGAGTTATGGTCGTTTTAAGTTTCGAGATTTTGACCTTTAAATCTAGGGCCTGGAAAAATCTAGGTTCTTAAGTGGTAGTTCGTTGGAAAAATCTTGAGGGCAGCTATAACTAGGGGCTGAGAAAATTTGGAAAATATTTTGTGTGTGTTCAAAATGGCGGACGGAGGGGTGGGAGGTTGGATTTGATATCATCATTCTCTAGCGGGACTATGACTTTTGACCTTTGGTGTAAACCGCATGTCGATATCGGGCTTGTGGACTCAGGTAAGAGATATCGACATGCGGTTTGCGGCAAAGGTTAAAAGTATGCAGTGGTAATAAAGATTTTTTGTCAAATCCAACCCCCCACCCCTCCGACCGCCATTTTGTACACCCACAAAATACACTTTCCTCAATTATTCAGCCCCTATGGCATGAATCAGGTTCAAATTATGGTATGTTATAGCTGACCTCAAGACCTTTCCAGCGAACAGCCACCTAAGAACATAAGAAATTCCGAACCCTAGCTATAAGAGTTCAAATTTTAAAAATTAAAATGGCCATAGCTCTGCTTCTAATAAACCGATCGGAATGATTTTGTATTCACTGGAAAGGTCTCGTAAAATGCCATCTCCCACCCTTACATAATAACTATATATTACTACGAAACTACTGTGGAAATACACTTCCACAGAAGTTTCTACTTCAGTTGGAACATTTAACAGCAACCTATTTTGGGCTGGAATTTTATATAAATGCCATTGAAAGGCTTAATATTTTTCGCATCTGCTGTGTTCGATCATTTGCAAGTGATGGGGATCGAACACACGACTGTGATGTCCTCAGTCTGGCTCTCTACCGACTGCACCACGGCCGCCCTATCTCTCACCTTTACATCATAACTTGGTATGACCACCGCTAGAAGTATTTAAGTCGAAAAAAACCATCTTCGAAATTTCGAAAACGAATAACTCGAAAACGAAATCATAAATTTTCTTTGAATTTTAATATGTTGTAACTGAGGTCGAGACCTTCCCAACGAACCATTTTTTTTCAGGGCCCTATTCATTAGGAGCGGAGATATGAAAGGTCAAAGTTCACACCTTTCTGGCCCATATCTCCACTGTTTATCAACCTATTTCGATAATCTCTTTACTAAAAGACGTGTCTCGATGCTCTTTTGTACGCCGTATCCACCATTAGTCTGTGACGTCATAAAATATGCCGCCATATTGAAAAACCTTTTAACCTTTTTTTCAGTATGTTGTAGTCCAGATCAGTACGTCTCTAAAAATAGGTTATAGTTTTTTGTAAATGCAATAGAACCGGAGATATCACGGTTTAATTTTAAATACGCTATAACTTTAGTTCTATTTCTCCGATCTTAATGATTTAGGGATCATTGGAAAACTCTACGACTATTTGGAACAACAGAAGTTCATCAGACCACCGCCAGAGGTGCTAATGTCAATAACAAAATTTTGAAAATTTTTAATTGAAAATTTTTCGATAGTCTAGATCGAGACGTTTCCAATATGGGGTCAAACTTTTCTATCGAAGCCATAGAACCAGAGTTATAACTGTTTGGTTTACAGGACTTGGATTTTATATTGCATATGAAAATTTCCATGCTTTCTTTCCTTCTAACTAAATCGAGTTGGCCACGGAAGAGAGAAATTTGTATATCCCAGCTAATTCAAAATAAGCACACGTGAAGCGTGTGATAATAAGCGTGCCATATGATAATTTCAATACATTTTTAATTTTATTATAATATGAAATTAACACATTTCAAAAGGGCCACAGTAAAACTACTGAAAAGTCCGTGACTCCTTGAGAGTTTAAATGCACTTTATTATCGCTCAATTAATTCTGAACAATATTTCATCGAAACATGATTTATTATTGATCTTTTGTGTATCTATCGCTCATTTGGATTTCTTGGCCCATGGACCATTGACGTCAATTAAGAATTGCATCTCTACGTTTAATCAGCAGAGCAACAAGGCGGATGTCGCAAGCATGCGTTCAAATAAAATAACTCATTTCATTACATTAGATCTCAGCACCCTCATAAACACACAGAAAACATTAATTAATCCATATTTTTCAAAAGTTTTGCTCACCTCAGGCAATGCTTGTTCATCTCGCGCTGGTGGTGACTCTCCGATGTGTACAAAAGGCCTGGAACGACTAGCTGTACCCACTATCATTTCTATTGACGAAGGAGTTTCTGTTGTTGGCTTGCGAATTTCTGACATTTTCGTGTTTGGTCCAAGTGTTGCAGGGTTACGTGTAGTATGGAAAATGACTGGCTGTGATTCTGTAGTTGACGTGAGTTTAATAATTTGGGGTGATTTGTTTGTAGACACTATACTTATTTCCGATGGAACCACTATACTGTTCGTAAATTTAGCAGATGGTAAATGTTTAGAGGTTACAGGGAGACTAGTCTTTGATATAAAATGTGTCGAATTGATTAATCTCTCAGAAGCCGTAGATTTATCATTCCATAGATCTATGGACTTATTAACTGTAAACGTTGTTATTGACTTTTCAGTAGGCTGCGATGTTCTTATTTTCTGAGCAGTTGATGTAATACTGAAACTGTTGATACTGCTAATGCTTTCAATCTTGTCCTCACTAATTTAAGATACAAAACAAACATGTGAAATATCGATATAATAATAACCATATAGATAGTTGGCACAAAACTAAAAATAAGCACAACACACTTTACAGGATATATTTCAATATCATATACCGTCTTTTGAGTTCTTTCAAAAACAGTGAGCCGTACTAGACCCAAAACATTTAGGTTTAAATAACAAATTTAAAAGCAAGTTTAAGTTTTTAGTTTTGCTCGACCCCCCCTCTCCCAGTCCAGCATTAGCTCAATTCCGTAGCACAAACACTGCGACGGCTTCTCGTGACTCCTGCTAAGAGGCGCTAGTGAGCAAGGGAAACCGTCAAAATAGGTTTGAAATCGCACTGCCATTTTGATTACGCGTCTACATAATTCATTAACTAGTAGTATTTTCAGCAAAAGTCTAATAATTTTAGCTTTTCAACATTTTATAGGTTCGCGGAATATACGGATACCTATAAATCTCAGGGGGAAGAGAAATCTGCTTGTCGTTAAGTTCCGCAGTGGCAAAGTAAAGAGAAACATCATCAATGCCAGGAGAAAGTCCCACCGAGACAGTAACTTCAGGGGTGTTTTCCTAAGTGACCAGAATGTTCATCAATGAGCGATTGACGCCGTAGAGACGGGAACTATTGAAGATCGCAAAAAAGTGGAAGACGAAGCTCAACTTCAAGTTCCTATGGATTGACAATGGTGCGATTAGGATGAGAGGGTGCGAGGGGAAAGATTCTACGTTATCAACTCTATCTCTGACTTCGATAACTGGCCGGCCAGGCAACATAAATGCCTCAATCCTCTCCATGGACGTATTCTGACGCGGACTTTACGATAATCCTACAAAATATCCGGAGCATTAGGAGGAATATGAATCTTCTGATGACTACTATTGAGTCTGGCAGGGCTGAAGGAGTTAAACGACAAAATCTTATTTTTCTCACGAAAACCTGGGTCTCACAAAACAAATCCCCTCACTATGCAATTGCTGACTACACGCTCCGTGCAGTATGTCATGATTTTTACAGGGCGGGTGGGGTTTGTGCTTATGTGAACGTTAAATTGAGTAGAGTTTCATCTCAAAAAATTGATTTAAGTACCGCGGACTGTATCAAGATAGTCGTCACGCGAGACAGCACAGATATATTTCTCTACTGTTTCTACAGATTCCGTCTTAAGCCTGTATCAGAGTTTTTGTACGAACTGGATTTGATTTGGGAAGCATTGACGATAAAGAATAATGTATATCTTCTAGGCGATTGCAACATTGATGTTCTGTTCGACTCGAGAGACGCCATTGAATACTTCCTACTGCTCTCCTTCCATGGTTTCGACCTGCTTGACAGCATGTCCACTAGGTAACGAAGAATTCTGTACAGATCATATTGTGGCGAAACACCTGTGCGATGATTTTTTTTTTGGCGTCCTAGCGGGACATTTACATGAAGGAATATCGAGTTCATGTGGACACGATAATAAAATTTTAGAGCATGGCACTAGCTTACAGAGAAGCTGTTTGACCGACGCTGATTGCAATACGAGTGTGATAGGCGCAAAACAGAACTTAAACTAAATTGAGTAAATGGGTGCATTGGCGAACACAGAGATGCATACGGCAGGTAGTCACAATGGATCATTTATGAATTGGAGCGAGAAAAAAGGGGTGAATTGGCGCGACGGTAATGCAATAGATTTAAAGTACTAATTGTAAGGAGGCATCAGAAGGCTGCCTACCGTACCAGAATTAGCCTCACCCAACCAACTCCAAACCAAACGGGCAGACAAAGAATCAAACAACCTTAACGGATTATTTACAATTACAGGGGACAGATAATCAAGTATTCTCCTATAACGCTCAATAAACAGCATAGGAACAACCGAGAAGCAATCACCCCTAGCCCTACGCTATCTGGGAAACATAGAGTGATTATCAGAACATTTGAAATAAATATCAGAGACTCAATACCAATATCAGATCAATTACAATATCAAATCTCGGAGTACTGTGCCACCCTGAATGTCTCTATCACTGACCACTGTATACTAAGCCTTAGAGTTCGTGGGCTCTTGCTGTTAATGCGGGATGAGCCTGCCCTAGCTCCCCGCATAAATACTGACTATTGTCAGGAACGAGCTGCGCTGCTCCTCGTGGATTGGAATTATCTAAACCGCTCGATCGACCCATCAGGTTCATTCTCGACGTTCGTGGACACAATCAGGAAACTTTTCGACAACTTCTCCTCTCATTGCGCGGTCCGCAAGGGAGATGCTCGTCTTAAACCTTGGATTTCTGACTCTCTGTGTGGAGATATTAAATGCAAAAATACACTCTTTGAGCTTTCCAGGCGATTTCCTAACGATTTGCGGTTGAAAACCCCACTAAAAATCATGAAGAAATTAAGCTCATCTCTTACGTTCCTACCGATTTGTGCTGATCACGCCGGTGGCTCCGGTGTCTGGTATCGGTGACATTGCGGAGCACTTCAATGAGTTCTTCGTAAATGTCCCGGGTACTCTCACGCGTGAATTGCCTGGTGGTCCTTTGGGATCCACCGATTCTGTCTATGAGGGTGTGGTGACTCGTGATACTTTTTACTTCTTCCCGATCGATAGAATCTAAGTTGTAAAAACCGTAAGAGGTTTTTAAAATAAGAGTGCCTCTAGCTTTGACGGCTTATCATTGCTGCACAATAAAAGTGTAGTGTTTCACATAATTGATATCTTTACGATACTTTTCAACTCATGCCTTAATTCAGGAGTTTTTCCGAGCTGCTTGAAAACTGCCGTCATTGTCCCCGTATACAAAAAGGGCGATAAAACTCTAGCAGGAAACTACAGACCAATCTCCCTTACTTTCGGTCGGTGCAAATATTTTTGAAAAACACATTCACTCATTCATTTACTATGGCCTTTCTAAATCAGTCTCATTTTATCAGTCGCGAACAATTTGGATTTATGAGCGGGAGGGATACGGAGAATGCGATGTCGCTCGTTTTCGGAAAGATCAATAGTGCACTCAATGACGGTTTATCTGTTTCTGCTCTTTTCATTGATTTAACAAAGGCTTTTGACTATATTGATCATGAAATACTGCTTTAGAAGTACTAAGCAGAAGGATTTGTGCAAAGTATCAAAGCCAATTATGAACACGTGCTCACAGGAGATGGAATGGCCTGGTGACTTAAGGAGTTGATCTCTGAGTCATTGATGCCTCAATGTCAATCAGTGATGCCTGAATGTGGAGGAATGTACTTTGAGGGTGTGTGTCTGTTCCACCAGAACCCACATATCTCTGGCATGCTTTGATCGGTGTAAGCTCGCCCTTACAATATGAAAGTGTGAGATACTGACACCTTCCCGCTTCCACGATTTCCTTGTGCCCATGACTCGGTTGGCTTCCTACTCTCTCCCTCTGCCCTTTTGTCGATGTCAAGCCGACCCTGCTAGACTCTGCTCCTCCTCTCCCTCATGATCATTGAGCCTCTTTATGCCGTGTCGGCTTTAATATAAATGCAGCATTTATATTAAAGCTAGTCCGACATGACTTAAAAGTCGGCTCAAACTGCGCGGTGGCGCATGCGTGTGGGCTGTCAAATTCTCACACACATCCTCACTGAACGTCATTCGTGACTGCGCGTCGCGTTTCGACATGCTTCGATTTCAGTTTAAGCGCGTGTGTCCCGGTATCAACGCCATGGACTAAAATAAAGCCGAATATTGTTAAATGCTACTTTAATGATAAATTTAGCATTTAACTTGGCCCGGCATAAAGAGGCTCATTGTATTCTTGTTATCTGGTGAACTGTTTTATTTATTATGCTGCTTCTGCCATTTTTAACCTCTTCCGCACGGACGCTGTCCGCCTCGGTTCTGCATCATTGACCCTACTCTTGCTGCTTGGGTCAAGCAATATTTTGTGATGCTCCCTGGTCTGCCTTCGGCCTTATCAACATGTCCTCTATCTCTATTTAATTTCCCCTTCATTAGTTAAATGCTTCTGGCTAATTAAAAAATGAAATTATATTATATTAAGAATTGAGTATTTTTAGCGTAAGTGAGATCCACATAGCGGCATTAAACTGAACTGCCATATCCCGATCGACACGTGTTTCCTGAGAATCAAGATCGCGGTTTGCCCATCTGCCTCTGAATTCATTGTGGAGCTGGGTCCCTTTTGGGAGGGACAGGTGAGACGCGGGTCCCTTTCAATTCCCGTGTATATAAACTATTTAAACTGCATTGTACTGTTAGACAGTCTATGTGTGCCAATAAATAAAAAATCTTTGTGCTCAATTATTCATTTTATAATTAAGATGCCCCTTATCACATGTTATCTGTTTCGCTCCTCTCGCTGATGTCTTCGAAGCGAGCAAAGCGCCACAATCTGGAGACCATTTCGAGGAAATCACACGAACACTTTTGCGCTTCATATGCAACGATTATGATGATGGCTCTGGCATTCATTTATCGAGCTCTCGGATAATCTTAGGAGTTATCAGTACGATTTGCATGGTTAAAGCTCAAATTTTTCAGTAACCCAGGAAAAATTCTGCGGAAAATTGGTGGGAATAATTTTCCTTTTCCGAGATGGGATGCCAATATTCGGGTTCAGAAAAAATTCTCTACAAGACGAGCGTATTTGCACAAATATTGCACGCGTGAAATGCAGACAAACACGTATGTTGGTTTGCGTTTTTATGCAATTTGCAATATACATCGTGTTCATGGAAAATGTGTTGTCTAATTGTGTCATCAAAAACACATTTCGCTCGATGCGACGCAGAGTGGCGAAGAATATGATTCATTCAGAAAGAGCACATTGATTACAATACAAATAATGGCATGAAAACATGTTAAAGTTGCTTTTTGTGAGCGAAAATGTGTACGAGGGTAATCTTCGTGGTGTGTACGGAATTGGATATGGATAGGATCGGGATAATCTTATCCCAGAATTGGATCTAGTGTGGAAAAGGGCCTAAAGGATCGCAGTTATTTACCCGGTTTTTTTTATACTCCACGTAAGCCTTTACAACCAAATTTCGCTAACTTTGCCAACGCTTATATGACACTTTGTTCACATGGGAAAACGGTCGGAGAACCGTCATAGTTTGAGTCGGTTTTGAGTTGCTTAGCTAATTATTACAACTTCAAAATTTTATGCGCGAAGTAGATTATATTTAAAAAGGGGGGTCGACCAACCAAAGAGCGGCACGCCAATGACATCCGGGTTATATATTGGGGCTATTATGTATATCTCAATACGCGAAGTATGTGCTTATTCTTGTTTTTGAATTGTAGATGAAATTAGTGAAACTGTGCCATTACAAATTAGGTCTAATATGCTCTCACCTCATGTGCTTGCTTGTGGGATCCATCACCGTGGTATTATGCTTCGTTTTAATTCTTGGTGTTGTAATTCTTGAAATAGCAGAGTATGGTCGTGGAGTTTGGCGAGACCTGCGAGGTGTGGTTCTTGTTTTGAACAGTATGGTTTGAATGGTTGTACGTGAAGGTATTTGAACATTCTTTGGCGACTGACGAATTACATTCACGGGATGATGATGAATAGAAAAAGGGACAATTTCTGTTTTCGGAACAGGAGGAGGTTGCACAAAACTATCGGGTGGTTTTAAAACTTCATAGCGTTCTGAAGCCCGTCCTTCCGCTCCATCTGGCGCTAGCAGTATTTTCAAAACTTGCGAGCCTTTTAAATTTACTGATGATGGCTTAGGCGGAAGATCCATATTAGACACTAGCGGGGATTTTCGGATTTCCAAAAAGGAGTATGGTCGTCGTGGTGGACCTAAAATCGCCGGTTTGCCTACTACTACATCAGAGTGAGCGGTAATAATATCTCCAGGTGATATGGGAATCCCAAGCAAATGCCTATGTGTGTCTTCACTTAACCAGCGCGCTGCAACTGACGGTTCTTCAGTATGAACGCGTACCGGTCTCAGTTCTCGCTGTGGTGATGTATATGACAAGTACAATGGCAGCATATGACGACGTGGTGCCGGTGTGTGCGTAGTGCACAATGTAGATGTAGTTTTTGAGTCTTTTAACATCACAGTGACAGCATCTGCAAATAAAAAAATTAAGTAAATTTCAACAGTTGAAATTAAACTAAAATTCCTTTTTTAGTGACCGCGCATGAGTTTCAGATACGAAAAATCTAAAAATTTATTATGTCGAATAGAAAGTAAAGATTACATTTTATTATTCATATGTTTGGCAACCTATCTAGATTAGATTTAGATTTATTTTGTTAATGCCTCTGCTTTTACATAGGAAAAACTTAATTGAGACTATACAAAGGATTAAACTTTACAAAATTCAGTAAGTCAAACAAAAAGAACGGCACGCATACAGTTAACAAAGTATTACAGAAGTGGCATGTTACATCACATTTTTCTACAGGGTTTCCAAAAGTGCATTTTTTTTCTTTAGAACATTTATGAATTTGCCCCTAGTCTCTTGCATTTTATTTCATAAAAAGAGAACCATAACAGAAATCGCTATATGGTTTTCGCTAATGGTAAAATATCGCATATTCAATAGAGTTTGATGATATCAACACTAACTAGACTCTTGCGAATGTATCTGCCTTTGATTAGAATGCTTTAACTGTAATTTTTTTCTGTGCGTGAGACAAAATTCGAATTTTTCAACTAAGACAATTATTCCTACTCAGGTTCTAAGGGTTCTCTTTACTGTGTCGACGTAAAGATAAACTAACTTGTATTATGCCATGCATATGACTTGAGTGCTTTTAAGGAAGCTGGGATTCACCGTAATTTTTTCTGGTATCACTTTGATATGTGATGATTTCAAAATGTAGCAGAACCGTAAATGTCCTTGAAAAAAATTCTGTCCAAATATACATATCGACGGGTGAATCGAAGACTATCAAGAGTCGTTTCTTGACCGTTGACGTCTTATGTATTTTTGGATATATCTTAATGTCTTCTAACATGTGTAAAAATAATTCATGGGGTATATCAGCAAAAATTGAAGAAATAGGATTTTTCTTTAAAATTCCGTGTTCAAAGAATTTTTCAATGCTGCGCTGAAAACTATGAAAAATTGATTTTTGATAGTTTTTGGGGTACCCGTCGATATGATAAAATTTCAACCGTCATACCTCTGGTTCTATGACTTTGATGGAACAGTCTGACCTGCTTTTGGAAATATTTTTGTCTGGAATATCGAAAAACCAAAAAAATTAACACTAAGTTGACATTGAAAAGATTTATTTTTAATTTTCATATTCTTGTAATGTTTTACATTAGCGGCTTCAGCGGTAGCAGATAATCTTTTGCTGTTTTGAAAGTTATAGCGTTAATGCTGGAAATGTAACTTTTTTTGTTTTTTTCCGTAAGCTAAACCCTAAAGAATTATTGACCTCTTATTACTGCTTATTACCACACTGCAGAAGTATGTGATGTTATAAGACCAAATCAATTCACTCTGACATTTAGAATTGTACCCATCTACTCTCAAGTGAATCCAGTTCTCTATTCTTTGTTTCGAAACGTTTTTTCTTTACAATCTTTGATTCCAGCAGTTATGCAATGAATAATAATCTCATGTGAAATTCATTTGTGAAGTACTCATTTAACCGATTGAGAAACTATCTTCTACTTGAGCCACCAAGGCTGACATCAAAAGATTATCTGGGAGTAAAAATGTGTGATTAGTAGTAGAACTATGATAGACATGGGGGACTTTGTGAGCTCATATGCCTGTAAATCTTCATTGTTCTTATATCCTTTACAATTTATGTGTTTATCCAATTTCACTTTACAAATTTTTTGAGAGACACACAATTACACCAAATATTGAACAAGTAGTTTTTTCTTGTAGGTATATGTACAATACAAAAAAGAGGAAAACTTACTTTCTCTAGGCTATATACACTCCAACGAAGGCTCGGAACACTATTTACATCGAGGAGAAGTTGTCAATTTGATGCGGACTTAATCATTAGATAATTGTTTTTTGATTTGGGATAAATCTGTACATTGGCCGCTGGTTAGTTCTGCGTTCGTGGTGGTACTAATGATCAAGGGAAGAGTGGGATATCATGATGTTGGGCTGGATCTGTGGATGAGACGATATTGTTCGTGGCTGGGATTGGACTTGAAAGTTAAACTCAATTGATCGTGTAACTTACTAATTATACACTGGATGGACAAGATACCAATTATAAAAAAAATTTTCTCGGGGAAGTAGGTATAGTCGAACAGTAAAAATCGTTTTGTTCAATAGATAAAACATACCAAGGGGGAGATAATACGGTTAAACAGTGTACACCACTTCCACAATTTCTGTGCAGACTCACAGACACTTCCAGAACTTTAGCAGTGAATAAAATATGTATTTCCTTATTTTCTTCTCTTTTCTTATGAAATTCTATAAGTTCTTCGAAGCGCTTAAAGCATCATAACCTCAATTTTAAGCCATAATTGCCATAAAAGGACTCCAATTTTTACTTGTATGTTTCTGAAAAAACCTTCAGAGTGTTTTCAGTGGATATTTTGATGTGAATAACTTTTAATTCAATTAATTCAATAATTAATTTAAGAAACTTATTCGTGTTGTAAATTATTGCGCGACAATAGAAAATCCACCGATTGCCACCCAATTTATTCGTTACAAATCGACAATGAGCTAAAAATTTCTATTTCACTTAATTTTATTTTGTATCCTGGAACAATATTTTAGAGGATATGATCAATCTTAGCGCAAATGAACACAGTTTAACATTTGTTCGCAAATACTCAACTCTGCTCAGGAGTAAGAGTTATTCCAAAATGATGTTTCCCGATGTTATTGAGTCATTAAATTTTGCTTTAACTTAGTTTCATAACCTAGAAAAGCAATCAGATTATTAATAAAGAAAAAAGTGTAAAAATTCTCAAAATGTTGCTTTTATTGCCTTTTAAAGTAGCTCTGAAACGTCTAAAATTGCGAATATTCAAGCACTTTCACTTATAAACACTTCTGCTGAACTGTACACCACTTCTGACCATAATATCTCCCCCTTGAAGCATACAGAAAAATAGCGAAATGAGAAAAAGAGTAAAAATTATGTTTAAACTATTACATTGCTTTACAATACACTTTACAAAACAGAGTTAAATTACTCAAATATAGCGAATTGTGGTTTTTCGGCCGGTATTTTATTAGTTCTTTAATGTTCTTTAATGTAAGTGAAGCGCATTTTTCCGTGTTTCTCAGAAACTAATCTCAGGAAACTTCCAGGAGTTTTCGGCGATTACCGAGGGATGTTTTCAACACGAAGAATGTGTTCAACAGGACGAAATAGTGAATACCAGTCAGGATAAGACATCTTTGTCCGCGACTATCCCTGACATTGGGCGTATTTTTGATGTGATTCTTGAAGGATTCTGCTGGCCAGAATGTCCGAAAAGATATCTTTGTTGCGACATTTGAGCACAGCCGCATTTGCGTACGTGTCACGATATGTACGCGTGAACAATACATGGAATAAAAACATAGCTTTTTATGTACTTGAAAATGAGTTGGGAAACCAATTAGTTTACTTGAAAAAGCCCGAAGGATGTTCGGAAGCACATAACCTCAATCTGATGCATTAAATCTGCACAAATGGCCAAAGAATCCAAAAAATATGTGTTAATTCACAAAAAACATCATTATTGTCTATTTACTTGGTTTTCACGTGAATTTTCTGGCTTATCAGTTCTCCACGTGGCAAAAAATTTGAATTTACGTCAGTCGGCAAGATTTCAGGGCTCGTAAAAGATATATTCACCACATACACTAACCGTAATCTTGCAACACCTTTTCGCGAATTCACATTAAGACAGTATATGAAAAATGGTATGGATATAAAGTTCCAACGGGAGGTAAGTATACTTATATGTTCACAATAAATGAATATATTTGTATTTAATTGGTATTTCATCTATCTGTTTGATACGACGACTTGTTTTTCGAGTAAACACAAACCATTTACTTACCATGGATGCAACTGGCACGAGTTGTATATTCGTGGACAACGGAACGAGGAAATTAAAATCACTCACAGTCTTTATAGCATACATGAGTGCATGCAACGGCGTTGTAGCACGTTGCTTGATTTTTAACACACGAGTTCTTTGCAGCGTCAATAGCTGCTTTAGCCCTCGTGTGTGCAATACCCCGGCTGTGCCGGGGCTCACACGAAAAAAGGCGTAGATGTGGTAGTACACGGAATTGTGGTTAGCAATGCAGTTCGTTTGGGCCGATCTACTACCGTCGATAGCAGTGTACTAAAGTCTCCCGGTGTTCGACCGCTCACAAAAAGTGTAATTATAGATGTACTAGCACGAGGAGACTCATCCTCTATTGTCTGTAAATGGTCGAAATCCGAATGCTGCAACAAAAATGGAAGCAAAAAATTGCTGAGCTGTGGTGCCTGACTAGCGGGTTCTACGACGGTGTTTGTGATGTACTCAGTTGCCGTAACAGTTGATAATGTTTGATCAAAGATTGTTGTCAATACTTGTTTGCCATGGAACGTCAGCGGCAGCACTGTTGAGGCTTCAGTGGTAAGTATAGTTACAAATGTCGTAGTGAGTGTTTGGTAATGTGTAACAGGGCGTGGATTGGTTGATAGCATGTTAGCAAGATGTCCCAACTGCCCCAGTTGGCCTAGTTGGCCAAGTTGTCCCAGATTTCCCAGCAGCAACTGCGAGAACACAAATCTGTACCTTTCTTTCACCCTTCCTTTATATATATATATATATATATATACATATATACATACATATATATATATATATATATATATATATATATATATATAAAACTCCTCTTGGCACATTTTGACTCAATATGTTCAATAGATCACATTACATGTAGTTTTCAATTTCATTTGTATTATTCTTATTTTCATCATAGGGCATCAATCCAGAAAACTTAGGGAACTCATTTACATCAGAAGTGATTTAAGTAATGGCAACCAAAAACTTTCGCAATTTCCATGTAGTGTAAAAGAAATAAACACAATATGCGGAATTCTACAACCAAGATAAAGTCCAGAAATCAAAACGTTTAAATATATCCAGTTCCACATTTGGTATTGTGAACAACGCCACATTTTTGTATGAATTGCGTACCTGCGCTATATTTTCCCTTTCAATATTAGCCAAAAGGACTTCTGTGAAATGTGCGTGCCCTTGAATTTTAAACCAGTCGCGTCGTGTAAAGTTTGTGATTTGGTGCGTCTTGTGGCCTCAATTTTTAGACTTTTGGTCACGACAGCCCTTCCACGAATAAGAGAGTATGCACCTATTGCAAATACATTACATGTTTCCTGCTTATTCCATAACTGCACTTAACTCATGGCAACATAACCTGGAACTCATTACTTTATACTCCTTCGGGAGTACACAGGATTTTTATAGAAAAAAAAGTTCCAGACCACTTGGAGTCTTTTATCACCTTCAGGACTGCAGCATCCTGCCATTTCACCGTACATTTTATTTGCCCGAATCCTCCCAGTGCGCACAAAAGAGTGTTCGTAAAAAACTTTGTGTACCTTTCAGTGTTTATATTCGTCTTATTACAGACATTTTTTTAAAGAAGAAGTACCGTGGTGATAGTAAGAAATATCAATGTTGCCACTCACCCGTGCAATCCTACGCGACAGAAGAGAAAAAAGTAGGGAAAGGGCTAACTTTTCGCGTGGGCATCGTCGTCCGCTCACATATAACGAAAATTTCGCAGTCCTGTATGCAGCGTGACTAGACGTGTGCTTGGATGACTATGTATACGCGTCTCACATTACAGAAAGATGTTTGCGGTCGCGTAACCTACCCTAAAATTGTGTCAGCCTCAGCGAATGTTCACGAGAAATGAGAGAAAGATCGCGCCCCATCATCGACCACAGAACTGCCGCGTGTGAGGAGGAGTGTTTACGCAACCAGGAATTCATCTTCGAAAGGACAACGAATCGCTGCTATTCTCAACGACAGTATACCAAATTTCAAATTGTATTTTGTTGGTGTCAATAATTTATAGATTTTGAGAATGTTACGTTTTGTCTTGGAATCTAAGTGTCAGAATTCGTAATCGTCTCAATATTCTGATCTTTATATTGGTGTCAGTATTTCGCTGAATATTTATAAATGGTCACGGAAACAGCCTGCATAGCTAAAACTAATTTTCCTCTCTTTACAACGTTTCAGGATCTTTCTTTTCCCTTCCTCGAGTATCAATCAGTGAAGAGTCAATACAATAGCTCAGAGAGAGGAAGAAACACCAACTAAAATATTATATGAGAAAAACAAAATAGTAAAATAACGAAACAACTCTAATGGTGAATATACAGCATTATGTTCTTGGATTTTGCAGAGCAATTTTAGGAGCAAGAATTTACATCACTACACTAAATTTATATACTAATGCTGTTATCCCACTACGTTGAAGTGTCAGTAAGATTTTCCACTTGTTGTTACGAATTTCCGTTTTATCGCAATTTTAATACCTCAAGATCTTCAAACCAGCTCTTGAGGCCACATACTAAAATTTGAGGCAGATGTATTTTATAAGAGCTTGTTGAGAAACAGCACCTACTTGTAAATGAGCTTGCGTTTGCAGAACCCCAAATATATGCTCTCAGTATTATATTCCAATTATGAGCAAGCATAGTCATAAAAGTATTGAACATCCAAATTGTACTCAAGTTCCTATCGACAGAGTGCAGAATAAAGACGTCTTAAACTTATCGTGTGCGTTTTAATGTAGTTTCCGCTACATTGGTGTCAGAAAGCGGTCTTAAGTGAAGTAACAAAAGTGAATCGCTTAAGAAGAACCCTGCTGTGATACGGTGATCAGTGAATTGTAAATGTCCAACACTCGTACTAGTTGGCATTTGATAGATACCGTGAAACCAATCGTGCCATCCAAAAAAGTGTCTAAGCAAAAGGAGCGAGCAACGTCCCATTCAGAACCACTGAAAGATACAGCAACAGCGGTTTCTGCAGCAAACGCATTCAAGAAGAGCACCAAGACTCTGCGCTCCCCAGTTCGATCTCTATCACCTGGAACTCACTCATCGGTGTTATTGCCATCAACTGCACCGATACAACCACAAGCTTCGGGGACATCATCAGGACCAACCTTCCCCTTTTCGAGACCGCTACCGCCATTGTCATTGGGAGTATCTTCAATTATCAAGCAAATTTTGGATCTCCCAGAATTGGAGCAATCTTCGGATCCGCTTAGCCCGTCCAGCCTGGTTGACGAAGTCTTCGACGAGACACCGGAGGATCTTGGCAGCCCAACCTCCACAGAACCGTCGTCAGTAAGGGAAGCTGATCGAAATCCTGCAGTTGAGCAACGTATAACTCCTGCTCGACCAGTTGATCCGCCACCGGCACCACCAGGACAACCTCATCCTTCGCGGCAGCAAGAACTATCGCCACCACCCAAACCTCTGGACACTTCAAGGATGTCACTCCACAACGAGAGCATTCAGTTCGTGGTGTCATTCTCGGACATCTACAGAGATTTCCCTAAGTGTAGCGGTGAGCTACATATTGTTTCCCAATTTTTATCAATTTGCGATGGGTTGTACGAAGATTTTATTGCGAATAAGAATCCGAGTAGAGACGCTGAATTTATCAGGCTGTTAACTATTAAGCTCAGCCCCGAAATTTATGCTAATATTCGGGGAAAGGAATTTCAAACATATCAGGGATTTCGAAGTGCTCTCCTTGCCGCAGTTTCCCCAGAAGTCTCGTTGCCAGACGCAATCACTGCTCTGCAGAAAATGTCTATGTTGAATAAAGAGTCAATACAGTCTTTTGGCAAGAGGATTCAAGACGCACTATACACTTTGAATTGTGCGTATTCCGCTCAGCTTGATGGGGCGTTACCACAAGGGTTGAGGGATTCAAATACACGAATGGCAATTAATAGTTTTGCAAATTCCATTCGGAACAATGACACTCGATTCTTGCTCCTCACACGAGAATTCAATAATCTACAGTCAGCTGTGGTCTCTGCCGAGTCTCAATTGAAATCGTCTTCAACTCTGGAATCTAAGGAGAATATGAGTGGCAATACATCAGTTTCCAATTCTGATCAAGGACGATCCAATAGAGCGCAAAGATCAAATCATTTCAATCAATTCCGGAACCACCAGAATTTCCAGAATAGATCTGGAAATGACTCATCCTCGGGGCAATCCGTTCAATGGAATCCCGATCGCTCGCAGAATTCATTTGCCCCTAATCAGAACAATCAAACCCTCAGTGCACCCCAAAATACTTCCCAGGGACGTCTCAATTCGCGACAATATCCTAATCAGTCTCGCCAAAATCTCAACAATTCCCGGAACGAAGCAACCGTTTTCATTCCGAGAGGTGGAAACTTCAATTTCACCATGTTCCCAATAGAAGATGAACATTTGGAGGCAGACATGGCGAGAAACGAGAATCGGTCAGCAGATCATATGCAAGATCGTCTGATGACCGAGATTTAATTGTTGGTGTTCCGAGATATTTCATTTCCCGCCCGCCAAATCCCCATGTCATACACATGTGCGCATCTGCGAACCCTAACGTAAAATTGTCGCTTCTAATTGACAATGGATCATTATTGTCATTCCTAAAAGTGAATGCACTTCATCCAGACACAACCGTAAGAGTGTCTGAGAGACACACAGTTGGTGGAATTACACACGGACAACTTATGACATTAGGCACTATTTCCCTTAAGTTAGGATTTACATCTCCAGAAGAAATGAATGAAGAAGCCAAATTCCATGTGTTACCCAACAACCATTTTCCATTTAATGGTATCATTGGACGTGATCTTTTGTACCAATGGGACGCGATTATTTTTATTAGAGAGAAACGACTTCTTTTGAATTCCCTGCAATTATCACTTTCCTTCGTGGATTTTTCTCGAAATAAGATCGCAAGAAATATCCGCATGCCAATGAGGATAACGCCTACACCTCCGTATCCCTTTTATCGTATCACCCTTGACGTAGTGGGACCCTTAGCGGTGACTAAAAATGGGAACAAATACATCCTAACACTATACGACGAATTGACTACCTCGTCGCCGCACCCATCAAAGACCAGACCACTGACACGGTTGCCGAAACTTTCGTGGATCGTTTTATATGTATGTTCGGAGCTCCAATACAGATTTGCAGTGACCAAGGTGGATGCTTCATTTCAGCCGTATTCAAACAAGTTTGTAGGCTGTTAAAAATCACGAAAACCAAGGCATCCCCTTTCCACCCTCAGACTTCAGGAGGCGTCGAACGTTCCCACAGAACCTTGGGAGAATATCTTAGGATATACACGCAAAATGGTCGAAACGACTGGGATCTGTGGATTCCTAAAGCTGTAGCAGCTTACAATTCGGCAGTACATCAAGCTCATGGTTTCTCTCCCCATGAATTGATATTTGTGGAAAAATTTGATATAGCGGCTCTAACACACGTACCAGATGAGCCAGTGACTACTTTTGACGATTTTGTTACGGAACTGAGACGGAAATTAGTGCAATCTCAAAAGATTGCCGCCCAACACATTAAGGATCATAAACATAAAAGCAAAACATATTACAACGAAAACACTAATTCAATCAAATTCAGTGTAGGAGACCGGGTTCATCTAATAAACAAATCGCTTCCCAAACCCGGGGAAAATTCGAAGTTATTGGATAGGCGCAAGGGGCCCTACGAAGTGACCAAAATAATATCACCTGAGACTACCATGATAAAAATCAATAACAGAGAGAAAACCTACCATAATAATCTTTTGACATTATACAAAGACTAAAGTCGATTCTCTAATTTTATAGGACTTCTCTTGTTATTAATCGCTTGCATGGTACCCGGTATATATTGTGCTTTCCAATACACCATTCATCCATTCGAGTTGGAGAATACCTATGTAGAGAAAATCGGGCCTATTTGTTCTGGACCATTGCGGCTAAACTGAATCTCCCGGACTTTAGATATAGTACAAAAATTCTTGAAGATAATTTAATAAGAATATAAAGAAATGTGCGCTTCTCATATTAAATCCAGATTACATGAACAATTTCACCACTGTCATGAGTCACTAGGAAAACTTAAATCATAAATTAGATCGACCCGAAGAACGCTGAAAATTGTTGAAGACCTTCTTCTCCCTGATGGAAGCTCGAATATAAAAGCGAGGAGACAGAAGAGAGGCTGATTTGACATTGTAGGAGACACTTCCAAATTTTTATTCGGCACCGCAACTCAAGAGGATTCACACGAAATAGAACATAAAATTAACACCATTCATAACGAAAATCAGTCTGTAAAATTCTTATTAAACACGCACACATCTTTGATAAACTCTACTATATCGAAAGTCAGCCAAAATCAAGGGAAAATAAATGAGTTAATAACCTTCATAAAAGAATACAAGACGCAACAAGACCTCATTCACTACGGAGAAATGGTGCGAGATCTTGAAGATCTCGTGTACGACGATGCAGAAAACCTTCAACATGACCTAGACCTTACTCGTGATAATTTATTCGGCAATGAAAGAGAGATGCCATCCTCTTTTACTTCCCCCACACGATTTTTCTAATGAAATACAACAATTACACTACAAGTTACCCGACTCGTCTTCCCGTCCGCTCTTAACTATGCCCGAACTATACTCTACAGCCCAAATAATAATCACTGGTTCCATTCAAAAGATCATTGCACTTATCCAAGTTCCGATTTGCAAGAAACCCGCATATCGTTTGTTTCATATTCTGCCCTTGCCTCATACAGTCGGGAATCTCACATATATCACAACAAGCTGAGGAAATTAGTGAAATGCGCTCTCTGGGTGTTCAAAATTGCTGACTGAAGAGTGGAAAGTTGAATTTCATATTTCCAAACGAGCGGTAGTACAACTTTGACCTTTGGTGAAAACCAAATGTCACCGTTTAGACGGTACCGGTCCAATTACGTGGGGCGAACGGCCATAGCTCAATACATCAGCTGTTGTGAAGTACGATCTACTTAGTGCATTCAGTCAATGAGAGAATACAGAATGAAAATATATTGAATGAACAGCGACTAAATTTTTCCAAAACTCGTTTGTTACTTATGACGTAATTTTTCCAGTGTATTGCAAATGAGACCATCTTATATACTTTACGCCTTGATAAAAAGGAGTAAGAAAATGTACATTGAACGCATGGCTAGTAGAGAGATAACAGAATATTGCCTCTGATAATCTGAAAGAGAAATGCTGTGTTTTCACCATAAACAAGTGTGCAAAGTAACTATGAAAAAGTTAAATAACAATTTTTTTTCTCTTCTTACACGATGAACAAACTTGGCTTTTTATATTGTTTACACGGGTTCTGGGATTTATTACGGGACCTTTTTCTCAAAATGAATTTTCAGCTAATTTTTGCCCTGTACAATCGTGTTAACAGACCTGATAACCTTCGCTATACATTTATCTAACATTGCATAGGAAGCTTCATAATGAAAACTCTGAGTTTCGTATTAAACTTATTAATTTACTCAGCGGTGTGATAGAGTGAAAAAGAGATTCGTCTCTGGACTTTAAGAATTGACTCTGTCCAGCGTGTTTTGGTCCCAATTTTTTGATAATTCAAGGTATTTTATGGATTGAATATTTACTTGTCCCGCCCAATATTTTTCTTTCATTGCGCCCGTAGTCTTCAGATTCCTTCATTAATAATTTAATTCAGATTCAGAAATTAGACATTAAAAAAAAATTATTTGAACATTACTGAGTTATGAGGAGATTAAATACCTTATGACGTAATAGTAAGCTTCAATACCTGTGATAACAATATGTTGGCTAGCGGAGCACCATTGTCTATCATAGTCGACACTTGCCGTTCCACTGTGTATGCTGTAGTTGGTACAACATGTGAGAACGATGTTCGACGGCCTCTTATTGTTGTCGGAGTGAACACAATTGTAGTTGTAGGACTCTCACGCAACCAGAGTTGAGTTATCTCAGTACCACCATTTACTATGTTTGTCATTTGTCCGAGCAGAGTTGTGCCCCCAACTACACTGTATCCTGAAGGTGGTACTATTTCCACACTTTTACTCTGTGTCACGAAATGGCGACCTGATAAGCTCGTTTCTACCGGCAATAAGTGAGTTACTGTGAGTGTATCATCTATAGTTGTGACTAAATTGTCGGAGATTTCAGTCCGTCCTCTTGTGCGAGTGGGTGGCCTTCTAGATGTAACTCTTTGGCGTTGAGTGACTCCACGGTAATTTGACCTTCCCCTAGTTGATGTTCGTCTTCTATAGACGGACGTTGGTGTTGTTGTTGTTGTAGTGGTTCGTCTTCCCACAAAACGAGCCCTGGAACCATACTCTACTGCTTGACGTTTTCTTCTTGTCGGAGATAAACGGTCCTCGTCTACTTCTTGTCCGATTTCAGTAGGGCGCGTTCGAGGTGGAAAGAGAGAAGATATTCGCGTCCTGTTTCCAAAGTTGACACGTCGTGGTCGTGGTGTTGTCGTCAGTGCCAAAATTGAAGTTCTGCGAATTGGTAGAGTTGGCCTTCGCAATTTCATATTATTTCCAATTGACTCTTCAATGGTAGAAGACACTGGTGCTATCGTCCGACGGGTACTGCTGGGCGATAAAATACGAGGTCTCGTAAAGCGTCGACTAGAACTCGCAGATGGTGAGACGATCATTTTACGAGTTGTAAATCGTGCTCCTTTTGATGATTCCAATGCTGGAGTGGCTTTGATTGTGGGTGTAAGGTCAGTGCGTGTAACAGTAAGAGCGCTAGCGCCTTTGCGTTTTGGATTGAAGGTAGGTCGAGCACGACTTGAAAAAGGTCGAATTACAGGTGTAAAGGTACGTTTCCGTGATATTAACAATTGACTGTCCTCAGATGATTCGGTTAAACTTTCTGTAGGCTCTATAGTAGGCAGAGCCGTCGTCAAAGGTGCCAGCGTACGGTCAATGAGGTATCGAGATGTACTCTCGATTATTTGAGCATACCGTCCGTCGATCATTGTACCAATTACACGAGATTGATATAACGTAGTTGTGTGGTTCATTACAATCGTGCCATCAATAAGACGAACTAGCCCCGTAGAGAGACTTTCCGTAGGTTCCGAAGTTGCATGTTCGTTGTTAAGAACTACAGTCGATGTGCTCTCGATCACCTTCAAGTCAAATGTAATATTAAAAACCTTGTGGAACTATAAAATAATATAAGTACTGTATCATTCGATTTAAAGATTCAAACAAAAATATATAAAATGCCCACAAGCAATACTTAAATACAAGATTCAGAAATGTAAGAGGGATAAAAAAAATATGAATAAGCACACGCTTAGCGTGTGCTTATCCGAAAAAGTCTGTTTTTCTATACATAATGCAAGTTTCGTTTCTGCTTATTATGTCACGCGTGAGACAGGCTGATGCATTTTCTGGTCCTTTCGTTTTGAGTATGAGACCACCTTATACTCCTTACACCATGGTAGTGAGCAAAGAAACCCTCAAAACAACTGTCGATATTGGGTTCGAAAATGAGGTTCAGTGTTTTAATGCAAAACATTCTAATAATTTACGCTTTTAAAATATCTCTAAGGTTTCTTCCCATTCAAATATTACTGAAAGACAATGTTTAACTCATCGTTAAAGCAAAAAATGAACATGTTTGAATCCGCATTATTGTGCACAATGAAAATTTATTTCTGCTATTTCATTCACATGTGCCAATTCGGTGGGGGATTTAAGGCAATTAAACCTATTTTAGTGAACCAAATCGTGTTTGTAACTACAAATTAAACCATTGCCTCTCGAAGTAGATTATTTTTAGGAAAAAAAAATAATGCTTCATAATGTACACAATAAAATATCGACTAGCCATAATTTGAGGTTGATTCACATATTTACACAATGAAGAATTACTTGTCGTCGACATTTCAACGTGAAAGTAGAAGGCAAATTTCGCACGAGCGCGTTACAACCTGTAACCTCCGAATAACCCTTTAAAATATGGTTGATCTTCGGATACATCGAAGGGTAATTCGCGTTTTAGTGCTGACCCAGCTAACAGTTGTACAAAATGGCGCATTCGCAAACACTCTCGTGGATTACCCATATATTTGTAAGTGCTCTAACTTTCTTAACAAACGCGGGAATAACCACATCTATTCCTGGTGATTGAAGATATTTGAGAGATCATTCCTTTTTATTAATTATGTTCTGTGACATAATCATGTGTTCAAGCGAAGTATAATATCATATTTCATTCTCGACACCACAATCTTGAGTACAGCCGGCAAAGTTTTTGTTGCATAAACCCCTGTGTTTGTATTTTTATCTTTCAAGAGAAAATTGTCCTTGTCTACTAACGCAGTTATCATGACCCGAAAATCTTTGAATTTTCATACCTGAGCGTAGAGGTCATTTATAAGTGTTCCAAGTGCTTCAGTGGTGAAAAGAATAGTTGTTACACCGTCAGCTTCAACAATCCGACCATAGTTCCGTGACAGAATATTTTTTGAGTTTGATTGTAGTTCCATTGAGGTGTTTGTACTATCTATATTCAACGTGGCTATATTGATTGCACGTGCAGAAGGTACTTCTACATTGGTTACTGTTTCGAACCGACTTTGAAGTACTGTGTCATCTCCTATATATGACGTAGTGAAATAAGTATAAGTAGTGAAGAAAGTTGATGGCGTAGTTGCAATAGCTTCCGGATTAACACTAGTCACTTGAGTGCTTTCTTCTATTACATTTGATACAGTTTCCTCCCGCGAAGTGGTGGTTGTTGTACCATCTCGAAAAAGTGTTGTCCAATAGGTAAAAGTCGTAAAGTAAGTAATAGGAAGCATCAAATCCGAAGTAACCTATGTTTATAAATCAAAAGTTTTTTTTTTCTGCCAAGCATTGTGTGAAAACACAAAAAGAGGAGGACGAGAGCATTGCAAGAAACAGTGTTTATTTCGAAATGCCCTTCTTCCTCTTTTTCCTATACATTTACCCACCTCTCGTGTTCTGGCATTGTCCAAGTCAACTGTTTCTGTTACAACGTTTGTAACAGTTTCGAGACGCGATACGACAGATGACATTGAGCCCATATACATTGTTGTGAAGTATGTGAAGGTGGTGAAAGATGTCTGAAGTAACAGAGTAGCCGAAGGTATCACATCTTCGTTGTTACTCTCGCTGCTCACCTGGTCATCTAACTGGTTTCCCAGGACTTCGCTGTCACCATTACTACTTGAGCTGCGTACGTCAGTAACTGATAATGTTACATTATCTGTTAATCGTGTCATAGTAATGTAGTTGTCAAAAACCCGGGACGCACTACCTGTTATGTAGTTGGTATATACTTCCGTGCGACTGGAGATATCAGTTTCACCTATGATGAATATGTTGGATGTTCACGTGTTTTATATTTCAGCCAATACTAACGGCAAGGGATCATGAGAAAAATAATAATCATACGATATTTCAATATAATTTTTTCCGTCTCTCATTAAGTTTTTCAAGTTAAATGTGTGATATATGATGTACAAAAAGTCTAATTTTTTGCTTCCATTCCCGTTTATATGAGAAAAAAAACCTGTTTGCATTCAATCATAAATTAACAAGTCGTAAAATCGAGTAAGAATCAGTAAAATTAAGAAATCTAGTGTGAAGAAAACATTTGCAACACTTTCTATGTACTGATTCTCCTAAGTATTAAATAATTGACTACAGAATCCTCAATTAAGAATGTTAACTATAGAATCTAATCATCCCTTGGCGTTAGTGTAAGTATCTCACCATCAACGAAGATAGTAGTAAAATAGGTGTAGGTTGTATAAACAGTGCGAACTCCATTTTTGGGTGAAATAGAACGCGCCAACTCTGGTGTGACGCTGTATGCCACTGCTTCCCTATCTGGCTCTATAAGCTCAACTATGTCAGAAAATTGTGTTATCACAGAAGGCATTACTGTTGTGGTAACAACATTAGTCACCACTTCTTTTCTGGTAGCCACAGACGATGTGGACGCATGAAAAAACGTGGTAAGATAAGTATACGTTGTGTACAATGTTTTATAGATGACTTCAATATCCGCTGGCGCTTCAGTTGGTATATCTGTAGTTTCTGTTTGATCTTCAGCTTCTATAGTAATTTCACTCGTGGAAATTTCTTCAGTAACGGTCTGCTGAAGTTCCGTTGTCGTTTCGTCCGTTGTCGTTAATAACGCTTTAGTTGTTTGTGTACATTGCGTCACTGTGTCAGTCTCTCGAGATATAGTATCCATGGTGGCAAACATAGTGATATGTGTAAAAGTGTCACCAATACAATCGATCAATTGCGTGGTTACTGTATCTACTTCGCTTGGATCAAGGGCCTCTTCCTCGAAAAATATAGTGGTTACTCCATTCTTTACCAGAGTTTCCTGCTCAGATGTTCCATGCTGAAGTGATTCAAATATGCTAGAGATCTCATTTTTGGTAGGGGTGCTTAGTGTTATTATTTCCAAAGATGAAGACTCAACTACATCGTTTATCTTTATATTCGTTGGCACCTCTTCAGTTGTCACTTCTTCAGTTACTTCTTCAGTTACTTCTTCAGTAGTTATGGGGCTAGTTAAATCAATAAGTGTTGCATCGCCTTTAATTGATGTGACATGAGCCATATAGGCAGTAGCAGTACTTGGTGAGAATACAATGACTGTATCACCTACGGTAGTTGTGAAGTCTGCAAACCCATAGTAAGTTATATGTGAAAACGGCACATGTGTTTCAAGTTGAAAATTGGGAAGTCGCCTGACTTCTCGCTCCGATCCAATCGCTTCATTGTCAGAAATAACAGTGAAGGTGGCTACATTTCCCACCTCTCCATACTTCACAGAAGTTTTTAACATCGTGGGTTTAGTAGAATTCAATTTTGTAACTCTAACTTCTGTCATTGTCGTGGATTCATTTTTTACTGCCAATGGAACTACATAGTCAGTATTGCCGATGAATGTACCCTCATGAGGCCACGCTGTTACATCGTTGAGACGCGGATCAGGTTTGGGAGAACGCTCGTGATCATCATAAAATACACGTGAAGTTCGAGCCAATAAATGAGCTATCCGACCATCAGCTAATCGCGTAGCCACTATGTGACTAGCGAATTCCGTAGTTGCACCCTCCTGTATAAACGTTCGTGCTGTAGATGTGACAACACCTACAGTAGGACGTACACTCAGGAAGCGTCCGTGGACACCGTCACTCGGTCCCAGAAGAACTGTGGCGATATCTGGATATGGGCATGCGGATGGGTTTGGGAACAGGAATAAGAGATAGATAACAACTGCATGCGATGGTCGTGCGACGTGCGAGCTGATATTATAATAAAGCATTGACATGAGAATAATACAAAATTGCATGCGCACTATGTCAGCTCACACGCATCACACTTAAACATCGCTATTCATGCAGGTACACTTAAATTGTTCTAAAATCACCACTACTTACCTTGATCTAGCGCCACTTTGTTAACAGCTTCCTGAATTGTTTGGTCATCTAAAAGAAAATAAAAATAGAAAGTGTAAAACTCAAATTTATTCAGACAATTGGGTACATTCCCACTAAAACGGAGAAATGTTAAACTTCAAACAAATTTAAGTTTAATATTCCAAATGAATAAAGAACAACACCTATCAACATTCTCTCTAAAGCAATGTTAGAAAGATTAAAGTAATTGTACATTGTTGAAAAGAGGGAAAATTGTGAAATTCGACAGAACTATTAAAATACAAGTATAAAATAGAAGAATAGGTAGTAGATACATGATGAGAAGAATTCAGGGGAGAGCAAGGCAGAAAGGGGTAAGACTAAATTAGTACCTCGTGTTTCTTATCCCGATTTTTTTATATGCTTGGTTTGTTTTGACTTGCTGATTGAAATTAAAGAAACCCCAAGTGAAATCCAGTAGAATTTTTGTTAAATCTATAAGATACTTCGCGCCAAAACATAACTTTACAGTTTCAGTGTTGTAATCTTATTTAATTATATTGTGGTTAGAAATATGGTTAAAGAATGAATAATTCTGTAAAAACTGGTTTTTATTCGACATTGAATATATTGATGTTGACTCGCGGGACGCAGCCATAAATATCGGACTATTTAATAATAATATAATAATAATAATGTTTATTCGCCTCTTTGTGTGTGCGTCTGCTGACGACTTTAAAGCCGACCTTCCCGAGAAAACGGCAGAAAACTCGGTTCATTGGTCGTGTATGCCACTTACACTAGTAACAGTTTGATTCAAAGCCTTAAAGTATATATGTGAAAACTAGTTTTAGTTTAATTTTAGGCTCACACAGCACACGGGAAGAGGGTAGCAGAACAGCAAAGTTCCCAGTGGGAATTGAAGCGCTGTTCGCGGTTTCAGCTTGGAACTTTTTAAAGATTCTAGTTAGACAGCTCCTAGAACTAGGCAGCAAGTTCTCCAATTGTAATGGATAATACAGAATTGACCAAAACTAATATAATTCTACAGCTTTGAGAATAGTGAAAAGCACTGCCATCATAATTGGGAATGCTTCGAGAATCTTCCTTTCATATTTTCATAAATCAACCATTCATTTATGTACATAAAATACGAATTTCTCTTCTGTAATATTCCGTAATATCTGAAACATTCTGAAAAATTGCAGTAAATTCTTTTTTTAAGAAACCTCACCCTCAACCTCTTCTCTCATCCTGGACAAGACAGTAGCTGAAAAAAGTTTTTCAACCATTTGTCTTGCCCGGTCTCGAACAGGGGTACTTCAGCGCGCTCCCAACTATGCTACTAGACTGGAGGAAAGTTCATAGGCTGAAATTCTTTTTATCACGGATTTTCTAATTATTAACATGTATTTAAATAATTATGGCAAATTTTAAACCTTTGCTTTTCTTACACAATGTGGAATCTCTTAAAACTTGTTTACACTGTTTTATCCAGATTTTTTTAGCATTTGCATTTCCTTATTCACTTAGCATATTAAATTTTTATGAACTCATTTGGAATAAATAATAATAAGAACCTGGTAGTTTTAGACCCTTAAATCAAGGGGTCGAGAAGGACTTAGGTTTTAAATTTGAATGTATTAAAAAGGCCTTGACACTTGCTATAATTTTTTTTTTAGATTTAAAAGTAAATTTATTTTTAGCTTATACTATGTACATATTTGTCCCTGTTGCTTATTTACTATGAATCCTTCCAGGGCTATAGCCTACTGCTATTCTACTGTTGTTTTTTTTGTTTTTTTTTTGTAATTCATTATGTACTTTCTATTTTAAGTTATTGTTTGTTTGGTGGAGTGGGAGGAGATGGGCTATGAGCATGTTTTTAATTTTTAATCTAGTATGATTGGAGATTGATATCTTTTAATTTTTGTATTGAATCTACTTTTCTCTATGATATTGTTTATAATTCTGTTATTGATGTTTTCAAATTTGCTGTATGTGCGTTTTGCTATATCTGTGCTAAATTCTTCTAAGTTTTCTATTTCTGCTTCTTTATAGACTTTTTCATTTTTTATAAATTTTTTTGTTTCGTCATCGATACCTGAATTTAAGGCCATTCTTAGGCATTGCTATATACTTGCTAAAATATACTCAATTATTGGGCCGATCCATGCGATAGGGTCTGAGAAAGTAGGGAAAATGCATTTTTTTCTTTTCTCAAAATGACGGAAGGAGGGATGGTGGGTTGGATTTGTCAACACCATCTTCTGAGTTACAGAATACTTTTAATCTTTAGTGAAAACTGCATGTCGATATTTAGTTTCTTCAAGCCCGTATGTAGTGGCGGACGGATATACTAATGGACGGAACACGGTGCCTAAAAATTGACTCCCTTGGTTTTCATCATCTCATGCTTTCGTCTGCAGGTAAAATTCTATACAGAAAGAGGTTCAAACGTTACAATACAAACATAAAACGTTGAAAGCACCAGATTTCTTAACAAAATCTTTATCCAATATAAAAATTCTCCAACATGAAGTCTCAAAAATGCTAAATTATTAATGCCACATAAATATTCAAACACAAAAAAATTTTTTTTTAAGTCTATAAATCCGAACAGGACTGGATATTTGAAAAACCAAAAAACAATATTAGTATTAAATTTTAAAATCGATTATCACATTTAAAGCTTTTTACATGGTAATGTACTACTTTTCTATGGTTCGTTCGTTTCTTACGTTGTTTAAATTAAAATGTTTTGCTATTATGAGATTTTTATGTGGTAAATATCCTGATTGCTGGGCTAAGTTCAAAATCCAGTTTTGTAGTATAACGGTTATCATTGTGGAATGAAAATTCAGAGAAAATGGAATCAAGGTCTGCTCGCATGAGAAGCGATTGGATCGTTTTATCAAGTACTATCTTATTAGGAATGACGGAAATAAGGCTGAAGAAGAGGTTTCATAATGGGTCACGTATAAAGCTAATTCATTTGTGTCATAATTTTTATCCCTATTACGCCAGCTTTGCAAATGACAATTGTACTATTTTATTGAATTGCACCGATATAAAGCCAATGTCTGTAGTCTCTTGTTTTCACTTTCAAGCATGTAACGGGATTTGGCTGCACAAAATCACTGTGCAAACCGGATTGATGTGAGAATGCGGATATATCGTTTCACTACTCCAGTTGCCGATTTTCACCGCGACAGGTGACGATAGCCTAAAATTGGCAACATCTTAACTGTCTGATTTCTCAAACATGCTGAAAAGAAGTGCTGACCCGAATTTAAAATCCATGTGCGTTTTCACTATTGTTTGAAATCTCTTGCTCGATCTCTCTTCCAGTCATTATTATACCTTCATGGATGCAATATTTTCATTTTGGGTTTAAAGATATTGCACTTACCTGCCAAAGCATACCAAAACGCCAACAGAAGGACGACGTGCGTCCGGGGCATGATATAAATCCAAAATTACACACGATTGATAACACTAAGCACGGACGCGCGATAGGTACCAGCGTGCGTGTGAGTGGTACGACTGTTGCAGTGGAACTGGCCACCAACGGTGTCACTAGGTCCGGACCCCCTCCAATAGTACCGTTGCGCCAGCGAGAGGAATTTGGAACAAAAGAGGGGCGAGATGCTTATATCAATTGGAATATGGATCATGATAGATCGTATACCGGGAATCATACAAAGTAATAAATTTTAAAATAAAACTTAAAATTTGCACAACTTTTATTTAAAATCTGTCTGCACAAAGTAATACAATACTTAATATTATGCTTTCATACAGTTTAATTTGTCTCTGCATCCAAACTACCTCACCAGAAACCTCCTGTTTGTCAGAGCCAGGAGAGGACTAAATAGGCAAAGAATTTTTGACTTTGTTAACATGTAATGTCTGCTAATGTTAAGTCTATTTTGTTGAGTCTGTCACTGGACAGTCTTCAATTCATGCTCTACTATCGCCACCCACCTAATCTATTGCTTATTGTATATAATACAGATGGCAAAATAAATGGAGACGGAACAAAAAAAAACAGTTTAATTATTTCAATCATTACTACATTGATTTCTGTCACCCTTTCGGGGCGAAAGGATTATTTACGATCTATCGAAATGCATTTTTAGGGGATGATATCCCAAGCGAAAACAAACCGTCTTATGACGGTCTTATAACCGTTTTCACTTGCAAACAAAGTGTCATATAACCGTTAGGAAAGGTTTGAAAATTTAGTTGTGACGGTGTTATGGAGCATTGAAAAGACGGTCACAAACAAGGAGTATGTATTTTTGTTGTTTGTTGAGGTTCTCGTACAGGAGGCGACAAGCGACCATTTTAAGAAGAAGAAGATGTATAGTTAAATTTGTGTTTCGCGGTGAAGTGAATTCGCGGGAATTTAAATTTAAACAATTCTTTTTTTCACGGATTTTCATTATTTTATTCAAGTTGTGAATGTTTGTATTTTCTTTTGCTCCTGTGAAGCCGCCCACCCTTTTTTCCTATACATATTCGCCCTTCTCTCCTTCTCAATTAAGTGATTATTTTGGTAAATTATTTTGTTTCTAATTCTCTGCTTCACATAAGTATTTAAGACATCTTTTGAATATCTGCTGCAGTCCACATTTTCATTAATAAATTCACACGTGTCTCTTAGAACATTTTTTTTCACTTTAAAAGTGAGATGAAAATCGTGGAATCTTGGAAGTAAAATTCAACTTTCTCGCAAAAATTAATGAAATCCATATAGAGTTATTGAATATTATAAAAAAAAATAACTTATCAATCGATTGATCTTCCACTGTCTCCTCATAATCCGAAATAATTTCGATTGTGTTGTCGAAGAGCATGTCTACTTCCGATTCTTTGTCACTTCCGGCTTCATCGCGGATCACATCATTCAGCTCTTCATCCTCGTCTCTCAAGACTGCAGTTCTCTCCTCAAACTCATCTCCATTACCGCAGGGCATGATCTTTGCGTAGGAATGATCCCCTGTGAAATACGAGAGCACATTTAAGTCAATCAATTTACACATATTTCTATTCTGAAACTTACATAGAATTGCAATCTCTGGGTTGAGAGATTGGATGAGGTCCAGACTCGCCTCTGGATGAGCCCGGCTCAGCTCTGGAGATGTCCCAACTTTCGTCGGGAAAACTGAAAATTATTATAGATGAAATAATAAAAAAGAACAACCTGCATTGTATATAAATCATTACCTCCCTTCTTCAATCTCCTTCTGCACTTCCACTCTCCCTGCAGAGCTCGGGAAGTGGGGTGGAAATCGTCAGGCAGGAAGTGGTCAGAGCACACTCTGATGATCTTCTTCTCAATACCTGACGACTTCTTCAAGATTTTCCTCCACTTCCTCAGCACCTTCTCACTCTCGTGGTGTGGGAGTTGGTGGAAGGAGACGTGGGGATTACATCCCTGGATATTCTCACAGCCAATTGCACTGCAATTCATTTTTCTTCAACTTTTGCACAGAAAATTGACAATTAGAACGCGCGAAATGAATGAATAGTTGGTTTATTGTGACTTCGCGCGAAAAGAAGTCACGATGATACTATTAGTATGATCGAAATAACGGCCGAATTTTTCGCTAAAACCTAACCTCAAATAGACGATGTCACCTCCTGTACGAGAACCCCAACAAACAACAAAAATACATACTCGTTGGGTCATAAAACTATGCGAGAATAACGCTCTTTTATAACCCTTTCATTCTTCTATATTTCTCCGCACTGCGGCGCTCGAGCGCGCTGAGAAGGTGAATTCTATTCTTCGCCACTCTGCGTCGCACCGAACACAATGTGTCTTTGATAGAACAATTCGGCAACACATTTTCTATGGACACGATAAATTTGGCAAATTGCATAAAATTGCAAACCAACATGCGCGTTTGTCTGCGTTTCACGCGTGAGATTCTTGTGCAAATACGCACGTCTTGTAGAAAATTTTTTTCTGAACCCGAAAATTGGCATCCCATCTCGGAAAATGAAAATTTTTTCCGCCCATTTTCCGCAGAATTTTTCCGGGGTAAACGAGGAATTTGAGCTTTGAGCATGCCAATTGAATTGATAATTCATAAGATGATCCGAGAGCTCGATAAATCGATGCCAAAGGCTCTAAATCATTGCATATAAGACGCAAAAGTTTTCATGTGGTTTTCTCGCAATGAGTTCAAGATGGTGGCACGTGTGGCGCTTCGCGCGCGTTGAAGACTTCAGCGAGCGAGCGGAGCAAGCGAGTGAAGTGAGACTCGAGTGTGAGAGATAACACGTGATGAAGGGCATCTCAATTATAAAATGAATGACTGAGCAAAAAATATTTGAAAACTCTTGTAAATCGCAAACAAATTCAATTACAAATTGAACATTTTACTTTGTTGCGTTTCTTGATGTGAATGGAACACTCACAGAAGAAAAATATTAATGACACAAGCAATTATGAGTTCAATAAAATATCTTTGAAAATAAGTTGATGAGCCCTTGATATTGCCGCTCACGATCGCTTCCTCATTGGCTAGAGGGGAGACGTTGACGGGGATTTCGCGTGGGTTTCGTGTCGATTTCGTGAGCGAAATGATAGCGAATGTGCCCGAGGAAATCAAATTCCTAATGGTGAAAACACAGCATTTGTAATTTGTAATTTGTCCACGATCATCTCTTTCTTCCCCTCGCGTTTCGTGTATTTTCCTTCCTACTCGCACAGTGGCTGTCTCGACATGTCAGAGTCAGACGCTGACAAAGTAGGAAGGAAAATACACGAAACGCGAGGGGAAGAAAGAGATGATCGCGGACAAATTACAAATTACAAATGCTGTGTTTTCACCATAACTTTCAAATTTAACGCTGTTTTGATTATGTTTTGCACCGAGGGTGAAAAATTATGCTTAAACAGTCAACAGTGATCAAATTCTCATTGACTGTAATGCTGTGACATGGCAGAAGAATGGCATTATGTGTTGCCGGCCCAGGAAAACCATCAAAAGCTGGAGAAAGTGTGCGAATTTATCTGGACACTAAAAATTCTTCTCTAGATGCTTCTGAGGCGATCGCGGTACACCTCAAAGATTGTCAATCTCCATCTCTCATGCTATAAAACATCTTCATTTGTTTCAAGTTCTCTGATTATTTTCAAGTTCGTTGGAATAGCGTTACATTATTCGTTTGACAATAACGCTGTTTTGTAAGTCATTTCACAACGTAATTTCTCACATCGTAAATGACTAAAAATTTGGTTACAAACCAACGTTTTATTTTAGTTTGGTTATTATGAGCTTCTTGGGATATGTTTATGGACTGTTGCGCTCGTATCTTGCAGGGAGACGGCAGCTGGTTTCTTAACGGAGGCTGACGGATCTGCGTGGCGTGCAATGCGTGGCGTCTCGGGCTGCTCCGCGGCGTCTCCTTCGCCCCGAGCGGCTGCTGGTTTGGGGCTGTCTCCCTTCACTTTTGTTTGTCCACATTTTCCTCGACGGCTGAGTTTGTCCACTTCATAAACCGGGCCATGTTTCCGCACGAGCTGAAGAGCGTTGCTCAGTGCAAACTGTTTCCTTGGAGAGGCGTTGTGGAACACGTTGCTTGATGAGTGGATGCAAGATGCCTGGAGAAGAGAGCCCGTGCTCCTTGACGAGGAGCTGTCAAGTAAGAGTGCGGCTGGTGAGCTTGCAAAGCATCTCATTTTGGCCAGGGAAAGTGTTCAGCCGACATATAGGCTTCAATGTAATAGTGCCACCAGATCATCGGGCATAATGTCTGGTAAAGTTGTCTAGTCTCTTTCCTTGAGACAGGCAGTGCCATTGGCCGCAGATGATGCCCTTGGGCTATCATAAACACTTAGTATACAATCATGCGTCTCTTCTCCGGACGGATAGCATTTTCCCGTGCCCAACGACTGGGCATCACCTGTCTCTGTCTAATACATGATCCTTTCGTTATCCTGTTGGCCTTGGAACGAGCCAACTATCCTGGCCACGTATAGATGTCGAAACGGGAGGACGTCCCATCTCTCAAACAAAGGGCGCAGCCACTCGTAAAGACCACTCTCTACCGCGCGCAAAGGACATAGCCCTAATAAGAGACTTTTGGGCCCTTGCGAGCGGCAGCAGGTGGGACTTACTCTTGTCAGTGTTCTGGCCCAGAAACATCTCATGGTCACCAAAGGTCAAAATCTACAGAACGTGAAGCCAGTGATCACGTATGGCCTGGAAGCAGTACCATTGAACCGCACGGAGGAGAGAAAGCTGCAGACATTTGAGAGACGGATTCTGAGAAGGATATATGGGCCGACCCAAGATGCGACTTCGGGGGAATTCCGTATCCGGATGAACCACGAACTGGAGGAGCTCTATGGGGAACCGCACATTGCCGCCTCTATTCGGGCAAGAAGACTGGGATGGCTTGGGCATTTGCACCGCATGTCGGACGACAGAATGCCCAGGAAACTGTGGTATCATGCCCCCTTTTGGGGGCCTAGGAGAAGAGACCGGCCCCGAACAAGGTGGATGGACGTGGTGGACGACGTCCTCAGGGCCCTGGGCCTGGTGCGTTGCTGGTGTGCGGTGGCGGCGGATTGCAGAGAATGGCGAAGCATTGTGGAGACATCCCTTTCAGGGCCATGGCCCTGAAAGGGCCACTTAAGTAAGTAAGTAAGATTGTTGTTTGTATGAGTGTGGGGACAGCAGTCATTCTAAAGATGGATTACGTACATTTGGTCCATTGTGTCACTAAATTCGATGCACCGGTATATGTCTTATTTGCGATTATGGTAGATGTTTCAATAGTTTAGTTTGAATTGATAATGTCTGAAACATTAAGATACCCAAGATCACCTTCAGCTGTAAGCTTCCAAGGTCCCTAAGCACAGAAAAGTCACTGCAATGGCATTTACCTACATATAAGGGTTCTAAAATCCGATCTTTTTAAATTTAAGAGAAATTCAGACAATTTTTTGTTGACATTAGTTATGAGGTCAATGCATCTTTAAACTGTAAGTTCCTGTCATTTCACGAGATATCCAGTAGGGATTCCGGGACAATAAATGGAGGAGCCGAACCTTTTCGTAGTAAGTCTATTTCCGATGTCATTACCCAAACTGTTCAAGTGACAAGGAGTCCACAATAAGAGAACCTTTTTGTCGGTTGTAAGACTATAGAACATCTTCAAACGAACAAATATAAGTTGTAGTATCAATATTTGTATTAATTCAATCAATAAATATCTAAATCTAAATCTAATTTTTTAACAACGAAAGAATCAGTTTCGCATAAATCTCTAGGCCTTTAAAACCCGATGTTCAAAAGAATGAGTAGGAGTATTTGCCCTGCCCACGGTGTGCTCGCTCTCCCTTTACTACTATACCCTAGACTATAGTTTTTGAGACTTCTATTAAATGCTATGCTGCGATTAGAATAAGTGCCGGCGCAACTCAAGGTTTAAGGTCACAATGTGCGCTAAGCCAAGCAAACCGCAGAATGTATATTCATCATACCGTCCCATCAGCCTTCTCCCAATTCTATTCAAACTCTTTAAGAGGATTTCGATGCTGAGGTTGGAGCTCTTCGTGGCTAATTAATCCCCGACCAATAGTTTGGATTGCGGAGGCGGCACTCTACAGTTGAGCAGGTCCATCCAGTTGTTGATAACATCACAGTGAGTGTAGAGAGCAGGCAATACTGCTCCGCGCTGTTCTTAAACGTGTAGTAGGCATTCGACAAAGTGTGGCATGTGGGCTTGTTTGTCAAGCTGAAGAGGCTAGAAGCTTCTACTGTTGCTTTTCATTTGTTGCATTTGGGCATAGCAGCGATTGAGCCTTGATTTGCTCGATAGAGGGTGAAAATCTCTGATGCTAAGTCGACGCATATCACCACCACTACCAAACGACAGTCCTGCCCCCACCTTCTCCGTAACGCTGAACGGTGCTCTCGTGTGGATCCAGGATAGCGTCAAAGTACCTGGGTGTGCACCTTGATAGCCGTCTCACCTGGCGTGAACACATCGTAGCAAAGAACTGTCAACTGGGCCTTAAGCTGCGCAAACTTTATTGGATGATTAGCAGGAAATCAAATATTTTCCTGGAACATCAGGTTTTACTTTACAAGACGATGTTCAAATCAATATGGACTTATGGGATTGAGCTGTGGGTCAACCTCTCACACTCCAATATCGAGATTATCTCGCGCTTCCACAACAAGGTTCTCAGATATCTTGTCAATCTGTGATTGTGAATTTGTTTCGTTTCTTTTTCATTTGTTAACTTATTGTCTCAAATGCCTTCCTAAATGGCTCAGTTTTATTTTATACATATAGGACCTTATCATTGAAATTGGTACTTTCATATCTGTGGCTCTGATACGACTCAAAAATTACTGAATGTAGCAATTATACAGTTGTAATTTATTAAACGCCTAACAAAAACAATTACTTTCTAATAACCCAGCGAACATATTTACCTAATATGAGCATGTTTTTCAACTTATATACTGCTGCATGAAAATGCTCATAATCGAGCAGCTCCCATATTAAAAAGCGCTCAGACAATGTATGAAATGGGGACGAATTAGCGATCACAGTGGACGATGCACAGAAGCTAAAACTCATTCTCTTACACTCAGATACTTTGACTAATTTTGACCTAATATTTCTCCTAATTTCTTCAATATTTTGACATTTTCACTGAGCCAATCACCCGAAATATGATTCCCCATGGAAAAAAGGAAAAACGGAAAAATGTGTCTCTTTTGATCATTGATAAGTATGTCTTTCTTTGGACTTAATAAGCCAATATCAGTTGAACATATTCGCATGCATTTGTCTGCGATTTTTCGGACTTCCAAAATATATTAACATACTCTGCTATTCGACTTGCACTCACTTTGACCACACAGAAACTCACTGTGGAGTTTCTATGACGCTACTACTCAGTTTGAACTAACCACCACAACTATCGCGACAGTCGATTCCAAATATACGCATATAGACCCAAAAAATTGGGCATATTGGAGTAGATTTATTGAGTACGTTGAAATTATGAGCTCAGGATGATTCCTGTTATCTTGCATTTTTTAAATGTTGAAATTAATTTATTTTTCTTTTTTTTTAAGATAAACCGATTGCATACTGTCGTTTTTATTACTTTTATTTGGATTAAATTTAGACAAATTTTATAATTTTTTTTACTCTTACTCAACGTTGAATTGATTTAACCTCTCTAACACTCTTATAGAAAAAATAGCAAAAGTTTCCTTCCTATTCATTTAGGATGGTAAATTTTATATGTTTGAAGTTGAAATTTGCTTATTTTTAGTGTAAATCGCTTCATATATATGTTATTTTAACTCGTTTTACTTACAAGTACTTACATCAAAAATTCTCAATCTGATATAATTGAATGAGTACTAACTGGTCATAAATAACCAATCTTAAACTATTAGTGAAAAAAATATATAAGCATAATGTGAATGTTGCAAAATAATTCTTTTCAGACAATGCTACATATAATAACTAAAAATGGGGCTTGCGCCGCCACGTGAACATGGTGTAAAAGTGAGTCAATTAGCAGTAATTGGACGCCAGAAGGCCCACTTAATCGAATCACTTCCTGGAAAATCACTATTTCCAATTAATTTGATAGCAGGGCACCCACAATCAAATATTGAACTAATGGTAATTCAATCTGACTTACTACCACACATCACAGAACTTAATTACCGGTGGCCTGGGTGGAGCCTACATTAGACCTCGCCTACTGTCGCGCCTGCGAATCGCATGTTTTTATAACACCCTCAGTTCTATTCAAACCGTCGCGACGTTATCACGTTGAGCGTTGTACAGTTCGAAACATTCGCGATGCCGTTGTAAGGGGATTTAATTACTGTGTAAACAATATTATGGAAGCAGCTGAACACATTTCTAAGATGCCACAGCCACCTGAATCACCGCATATGGCATCCCAAACGTCCTCCAGTGCCCCAAAAACTAATCAGGTAATGTGGCACTGGAAGAGATTTAAATGTCAATCGTTCGCGGATGAACAGACATTTTGATTCTCACATTTTTAGAATAGAAAGAGAGATTTTTGGAGATATAAAACTGTGTATTTGCCATTTTGGGAGCAATGGAGAGAAAGTAAATTCATGGACCTATTTTGAGATTATAAGAAGGAAAATGTGAACAAGTACACGCCTTATAAGTGTCATAGCGTCGCTCTAACATAATGCTCAGACATTTTAGTGTGTGTAAAACAAATACTGGTCACGTTGAAATTCAATCCCTTCCCTTCCATTCACAATTTTGATAACCGCAAAAACTTTTTTCTAATTGCTTAGTCTCTATTATAAGAATCCAATTAAAGTTTCACTATGTTATAGCGCTATCAGCTAAATCTTTCTTCTGAATCCAACTTACAACACTTTAATGTGAAGCACCCAATATATATAATATATATATATATATATATTATATATATATATAATATATATATATATATAATATATATATATATATATATATATATTATATATATATATATAATATATGTGTGTCTCTCCAGCAATAAAATACGATAAAATTGGTCTAATTTATACGAAAAATGCAGAGTCTTCGATAAAATCGTAAAATTAATTGTATAAGAAGCCATAACATGAATTTTGACACAAAATTAAATCCATTTGCATAACAGTTCATTGTTTCTGTTGCAATACATCCATTTAGGGTTTCTTCCAGTTTTCGTATTCTCACGTCCTTAGGTAAATGCGAAAGACAAGGAATTTTTAGAACTAAAACTCATTAGTCCTAAACTAATTTTCGCTACTGTAAGTTTTTATAATAATTTTTGTACTTCCAAACTATTGTAAGAGAAAAAAATCATTTTTTTAACCAAAGTCATTCTAAGTATTACACTGTACAATTATGATGCTTCTACAGTCTTATTAAATAGAATAATGGATAATTATCAAGAAACCGTACAAATTTTTCGAGAATTTTAGACAGTGCATGATGAATTCGTTCTTATAGGCGATATGTCTTAAGCTCTCTCTATTTAATCCTGATAAAGGCTGTGATCCACTATATTCTAAACGAATGCAAGGACATTCATGAGTAAATAACGATACATAATTGAAAAGCATGATTTATTGCACTTATTTTAACATTTACTGATTATGCAAAGCCACAAATTTAGTATGATGGAGTAAATGTTCAAAGAATACAGTAATGTTTGGCAAATAATGACTAATACTTTTCAGCCAATGTATTTCTACACTCATTTCATTGAAATTCTCTGTCTAGAAATAATTAATTCCTTTCCTATAAAATATGCTCTCGGACTAAGTCGCAGAGGCAAAAATTGTAATTTTCGACGTACAATTTTAAATGACACGGCTTACCGGACTTTGTTCGGCTTTGTCGGACACGCGCGTAGGTAATTTGAAGGTTATATTTCCTACATTTCCCGCCCCGTGGATAATAAAACACGTTCATAACAAAATAGAATTAAAAAGTCTCCATGAAAAGCGGGCAGACGGTAAAAATCGTAAGCGGCACAAACATCACAAATGAAACTTCCACATGCGTAATATTTCTCAAAAAAAATTTGTTTGATTTTCACTAACATCGCAGTAACCCACACTTAAATATGTAATAGAGACTCATTATTATTAATATTACAAAAGACAATTAGAGCCTTGTAAAACGACGACGAAAAAACGGTTATTTTTTAACCATCTTGTCTTAAGTATTTTATTTATATGTCCATATCCATAATTTTCCTGTATATCCAGTTTCGCATACATTACAAACAAAGCTAAGCTCACGGTTTCACGCAGCAAACAGCATTTTTACTCGTTTGGTCTCGAGTCTATTTTCTTGTTGACAATGTCCCTTTAGAAAGAATAACTTTTGAGGTATGAGAAACTTCTTATTTTTAGCACTCAAAGACAACACTATTCAAGTTCGCTAATAAAATCAATTGACTGACAAAGTTAAGCTTTGAGAGAATTTTTTGAAGACGATATTGATGATTTGGGGCATTCAGAAGTTCTTTTACGCTGACCACGCAGACTTTTGAATTATTACCTTTTCCCTTGGAACTACACAAATTTGAAAGAGGAGACGGCCCAAAATTTTACTCTCCTATTAATAGTAATAATACTATTTAAAATAACATTTAAAATGTGAATAAGCGTGTGCTTATGGTATATGGCTGGGATTTACAATTCCTTTCTTCCGTAGCCAACTTGACTTTGTTAGAAAGAAAGAAAGCATGGAAATCTTCATATGCAATATGACATACAACTCATGAAATTCAAAAATATCAAACTCTGGTTCTATCTCAATTATCATAAATTAGTGTGATTTTAGAATCAAATTTTTCAGTTAAAAAATTTGTCATTGCCATTAGCGCCTCTGGCGGTGATCTGATAAACTTCTGTTGTTTTAAATAGTTACAGAGTTTTGGAACAATTTTCCAATGAGTTTAAAATCATTATGATCGAGCAAAGAACCGATGTAATGGCGTATTTAAATTTAAATCATCAAATGGCATAACTCCAATTCCATTGCATTGGTGAAAAGTAATAACTTATTTTTAGAGACGTCCTGGCATAAACTATATTTTCAAGTTATTCGATTTCGAAAATGGATTTTTCGACTTTAGCGACTCTTGTAGTGGTCCTACTAATTACCAATTTACCAAGACCTAATATTTTTTGTATCTTTTTTTCTGTTAAATTATTTAGCCGTGATGAGTTTGATGCACAAATGAGATATTCTCAGTCCGACACTCTACCCACTTCATCACAGCCGTTCCACAAATTTGTCTTAGAAAGAATGCCTGCGTTTTTCTACAAATATTTTATATAGTACCGATCTCTTTTGATAAAATACTGCTGCATAATTGGAGTTTCGCCGCAATTCGCCCACCATCAACTCAACTATACAAGGAATATTAATTCACAGTAACAGAAAAAGCGAATCGTATCCACATTTTTTTATTCTCGTCGTCACTTTCCCGGCTCAGTAACATGCACGAAGCAGCGAAAAAAGAACCTAATCTGCTCTCTATAATGGATGACGTTTCCCACTCAAAGATTTATCTAAAATCACACCAGTTTCGTTCTTGTCTCGTTTTTGTACAAATCAACCAATGTATGTGCATTCGTAATCTGTATCGAACATTCGCTGTATATATGTAGGTTGAAGAAAAAATTAATATCCTCGTTTAAACCTCATCATTGACGCACATCATAACCTTGTTTGAAATCTTTGAAACCTCTTATGCTCCCGATATGGCGAAATGCAGTAAATTGGTATGCATTTACGCGTTCACCATGCTTAGGTGGGCACAGTACTACTTTATGGCATTCCGATTGTATCGTTGTTCATCGAAGCACAAGAGCGTTTGTGCTTAGCCCAGATCAGCAACACACTACTAAAGCAATTCAGCTATAATGAGATACATAACCGGCGTGTGGCGCTCGGAATCACGTGCGTGCAATGCACGCCTGTGCAGCTTGAGATTCTGCGACGTGCTGGTGCTATGCCCGTCTCCTCGCGCAGGTGTGGCATGATTACACGTCGTGAAGCAGAACGACTGTGTAAATCTTTTCTTGGCGACAACACGCCGCCTCGCCTTCCTGACGACTTCGCTTTTACGGTGCATCACGAGTGCGCGTGGGGTTGCAGAGGAGCTTTTTTGCCAGCGCGATACAACAGCTCCCGAGCTAAATGTATCAAATGCGCATTTTGTGGTTTATTCTTCTCCCCGAACAAATTTATCTTCCATTCGCATCACCTGTCTCCGCATGACAAGTATGTGCAACCTGATGCAGCCAACTTCAATTCATGGCGTCGCCACATGAAATTGTCTGGTGCGCCGCCGGAGGAGGTCGTACATGCGTGGGAAGACGTTAAGGTAAAAAATTTGCCCTAACTTGTTTTCTTTAAACCAAATATGATCATTACAAAGAAAAATAGGTGCAGATAATAAAAAAAATGAATCAGTTTAAAGCAGAATTTACAAGAGTATATAAAAATAAGTGGCCTTTTTACAAAAAAAAAATCAATTACTTTCTAAGTATTACTCAAAATCATAACCTAAAGAAATCATCCCTTTTTTGTAAATAATAGCTAGGACTCTATTCTCTTGGAATAAGGAAAAAAAACATTCGCCAATAATTACAAGATTATGTAATCGTCGATTGCACCAAAGTCTAAGTATTGATGATACACTTTCAGATCAAAACGGTGGAAAAGCTCTTTAGCAAGTTGCATAAACTCTACATCCCCAGCCCTTACAAGAAATAATGAAATAAAGTACTCAGTTACTTATTTGTTTATCATTTTTGACTTTTTTCTTTACACGGAGGTTGCAAAGTTAAGCTGAAGAGGATATAAACACCTATCCTTACTGACAATTTATTGATTACATCTTTATTAATCATAATAAAAATTGATATTACACACATAAATAATTAATTAAATATGCCGAAAATTAGTTCAAAGTCGCTGGTTAATGTACAATTGACTCTCCTCAGTACATTTAAGATCAGATTTTGAACAATTTTTTTTTACTTTTATTAAGAAATCGCATTTTAAATAAATATAAACGCAATATTCACTCAGTTTACATTACGCGGGCGCTCATTGAGTGCCTAAAAAATTAGTAGTAGAGTGAGATGAGCTTTTTGATCTCTCATGTGATGTGACGTAGCAGAATGACGGCCCTGGAATCATTAAGGCGTTCCTTTGCCTATCTGCCGCCTCTGATAATAAAAAAATCCATCCAACGAGCCCGATATCACCGGAAAAGACTAAACAAATGATGATTGATGGTGGAAATGAACAAACGAAGAAACTCATGACATCGCGCTGCAACTGAGGCCTCAGTTTCTGAAGTCGGCTCAAACTTCGCGGTGGCGCATGCGTGTGAGCTGTCAAATTCTCACACACATCCTCACTGAACGTCATTCGTGACTGCGCGTCGCGTTGCGACATGATTCGATTTCAGTTTAAGCGCGTGTGTCCCGGTATCAACGCCATGGACTAAAATAAAGCCGAATATTGTTAAATGCTACTTTAATGATAAATTTAGCATTTAACTTGGCCCGGCATAAAGAGGCTCATAGAGACCTTTCTCACAAATCCACACATTAGGCTCCAGGTCATATCAGGCCCTAGATGTTAAAGTTTCAATTTTAAAATTTTTTTCTGTCATAAATCAAGTTCCGATTATCCGATTCGAAAAATTTAAAACTAATTATACAGAACTCAAAAATTCCATCTTGTAGCCGAACATCTTACCATAACACAACAACAGCTAGAGGCGTTACAGTCTCGAAACGATTTTCGAATATTCAAAATTGTTGAATACGCATTGCATTGTCTTTAAATTTTAACGTGCTATTGCTGAGGTCGAGTGTTTCCAAAAATATCTCATTTATGGAGCTAGATTTTTTTCAGAATAGATATGAATAAAAGATATGGAAAGTCAAAAACCTTCACCGGCCGATTTTAGGTTTCTGGAATGATTTTTCAAAACTCTACAACTATTTAAGACAATAGAGGTTCATCTGACTGTCGGTTTGAACTCTGAAATCAATAATTCTCAAAATTTTTAAATCGAAAACGTTGTAACACGTGACTAACAGCTTGATAGATGTTTTGATAAAATTTTCTAAGTATTCCAGTTTGAGTCCTTTCCAAAAATAGATTATACTTTTAATTAATACGATAAAAGTAAAGTTCTGATTGTATAATTATTAAAATTCATTTTTACTTATTTTAGTTTAATAACAGGTAAAAGCTACAGTAAATATCAGCTGCCCCATCATGATGTTATCCCTTTTTTTGTTGTTGGTTTTACAATTTGTACCATTTTCAATTCAAAATTGTATAAAAAAAACTTGAAGAAGCACACGCTTGGCGTGGGCTTATGGTATATTAGCTGGGATATAAAAATTTCTCTCTTCCGTGGCCAACTCGATTTAGTTAGAAGGAAAGAAAGCATGGAAATTTTCATATGCAATATAAAATCCAAGTCCTGAAAACCAAACAGTTATAACTCTGGTTCTATGACTTCGATAGAAAAGTTTAACCCCATTTTAGAAACGTCTCGATCTGGACTATCGAAATACTTAAAAAATTATCTCTAATTAGTGTAACCTTAAAACAAAATTTTTCAATAATTTTTTTTTTACAAATTTTTCATTGACATTAGCGGTTCTGGCGGTGGTCTGATGAACTTCTGTTGTTCTAAATAGTCACAGTCGTAGAGCTGTGCAAGAGCTTTCCAACGAGCCACAAAATAATTACGATTAAATAAATAGAACAAAAGTTATAGCGTATTCAAAATTAAAGCTTTAAACCGTCATAACTCCGGTTCTATTGTATCCACAAAAATCTATTTTTAGAGACGTAATGACCTGAACTACAACATATTAAAATTTAAAGGAAAAGCATGATCTAGTCGCCGAGATACAAGCGCTAAAATTTTTATCAATATGGTGGCATTTGTTATGACATCACAGACTAAAATTTCTATGGCAACCTACAGAGCGTCGAGACACGTTTTTTGGTGAAGAGATGTTCGAAATCGGTTGATAATCAGCGGAGATATGGGCCGGAAAGGTGTGAACTTTGACCTTCCATATCTCCGCTCATAATGAATAAGGCCCCAAAAGTAACGGTTCGTTGGAAAGGTCTCGACCTCAGTTACAACATATTAGAATTTAAAAAAATTATGATTTCGTTTTCGAGTTATTCGTTTTCGAAATTTCTCAAAAGGTTTGTTTGTATCGTTTGTATCAAAAACAATTTTTGATAGTCTTCGATTCATCCGTCGAATTGCAAAGCAAAATGAAAAAATATTTACTGATATGAGATTGAAACTTAGAGATGTCTAAGGTGTATGATCAGCCTGAAAGAACCTTTTGATGCCACAATGCTTTGAGTGAGATAAAAGGTTTCATGCTCGGTTCCAGGAGTAGTCCCCAGAACCTGGTCAAACCATTATAGCAGAGAGGATAAAAAAAAATTAGACTTCGCATTTGCAGAAAGGAAGGCAGGCTGCAGCCTACCAGCACATCTTTGTGGGCAGAAATGTGATTAGGGATACTCAGTCAGCAAACGTACATGACACAATCGTTGAATGCTATAGTTATCCGATGGATTGTGTCACTATCTGCCAGAAAGAAGAGCTCTGTTCCATAAGAAAAAATATGCCATAATCAGCGCTCGTGCGAGAAATAGCCGAATATCATAGGGTATGATGTCCCGATAAAGACATAAATTGAATAATTGACCTTGCATCAAAGGGAAGAGGCGTGATCTGACCAGGATAGAGTCGAGTTAAACACAATACCAAGGTTTAAAATCTAATCCGCGTAAGGGATAACTTCACCATTAAGAAGAACAGTGAAATAAGGAAAGTTAGTGCTCTTTTTCGAAAAGATCATTGCTTGCGATTTCTTTGGATTGAAGCGAAGGCCATTGGACAGAGCCCCAGTGCCCAACTCTGGAGAGGTAATCATTGAGAAGGTTGAAAGCACAGGAAGAATTTGAAGGATCACCTTCTATGTAAATCTGGAGGACGTCCGCATACAGATGATACGAGCAACCACACAGGACAGTAGGCAGATCATTAATGATCATAGAGCAGAGCAACGTACCAAGAATAGATCCCTAGCTAATGGCTTTTCCTTCGGTAGATAAATAAGACGTTTTGTCTGCAAATTTAACAATTTGAGATCGATCGTGAAAGTAAGAATGTATCAAGGCTATTTCCTATGAAGAAAATAAGCCGCGCCTAAATTATAAGATTTGGTACGAATGCTAAAGTCTCCCGAAAGCATTCCGTCTCGGCATCGAGTGGGAATATTTGTGCAAATTGACTCGAATATGTTTTAGAGTGTACGCTATTAAGCTAGACTACATTAGATAGCTCATTTAATTGACTATCAACGTAGATCGTTTGAGTTCTAGATTACGATTGAAAAGATATCAGCGTGAAAAGAAAATATTGCAAGACAAGTCGCAATATAATTACTTGTAATTTCTCTTTCACGTGATATACTGTCAAAGTCCGTAAAAAATGTTTTTTTTTGGGAAATAATAAATGTTTAAACTTACCAATTTTCTGCCTGGACGGCAATTAAAACACCGTCTTTGAGCAATTTTCAATCAGAAAGACCAGACACATTGCTTAGGAATGTTGAAAAGCTTAAATTACTAGACTTTTTCTGAAAATAGTCAATGAATTATCTATACGCGTAATCAAAATTACAACGCGATTGCAAACAAAATTTTGACGGTTGGTCCTAAATTTTACCGAAATAAATTAAATTTAATTGAATAATTGTATAATTTTTGCATGTGTCTGTCCTTTGATTTGTCGCGAATGTAATGTATAATACAGGTTCTAAAACGGGTGTATATTAATCTACGAACCATACTTTTTGCGTTATATTATATTAATCTGATTTTCTGTCTTTATAGGCTATGTTTAATGGAGGAACCCGCAAACGGTTGCTACTGCCAACGCAGACACGAAGCCCAAAACGTTCAAAGCCAGTTACCCCGCCACCAGCAGAGCCCTTTACGCGAACCCTTATGATGGACTGGCAATGGAAGACACCACCCTTCTTGCCTTCCTACACACTGCATAGTTGGCTCAAACGTCCTAACGCCCTCCTTTTCCCCACTACTTCTCCATCGCCATCAAAAGGATTGGTCTGCGCAGGCGCAACATCTGCCTTTCGCCCTGTGGCGTCTCCGTTGGTCAAGGAGCCTGTTTCGTCAGATGATGAAATGGTTGACATAGAAACAACAGATGACATACCTCTATCACAGGTTAGACTTTTAAAGTTTTACAAAAGATCGTACTTAGAAACCTAACTTTTCTTAATTGAAAAATATTAAAACTGCAGTTGCTTTGAGAAAAAAAAAACTCTGAACTCTTAAAATATATTAGTATGCTAAGACCTCATACGTTAAACATCAAACTTGATTTTATATTTGTATAAATACTTTCAATAAGGATTGTTTTCATACCAAATTTCAATTAGTATCTCCAGATTCTAGGTTACCAAGGTCAAATATCAAGGAAAGCCAGAATTTATTACTTTGTTTTCTTACACTTAAATTTAAATGAAAAAGATTGGCAGTAGAATTCAGTTAGTTTTGAAAAAACTAATTGAAGTCATTATTGTACCTATAATTTTGACAAGACCTATAACCCTGCACTTAAAAAATTGTACATATTTTCACGTTTTACGTCTGCTTATGGTGGAGCTGGAAATAATTTTCCTTTTTCTGTGAAATTTGAGATGTTACAAATTTTCAATGTCAAGTTTAATGTAGTTAGGAAAATGAGTTCAACCGTTGTTTATCCCACAGAAACGTGCTAATATGGTGGCAAACTTGATTTAAGCTAAAACCCAGTTCGTGGCCATAAGCGGAACCATGTTGAAAAGGTTGCATACATCTTGATTTTCCTGCAATATGCAGAATTGAATTGAGCCGGAGAACATTATATGGTTCTAAGAAATAATAGAGTTTGGCGAGGCGATTCAGACGAGTCCAAGATCATTAGGATTAGGCAAAAAAAAGGAAATTATTATTAATAGAAAACTAATATTTTGAACAGCCATATTCCTGGTCAAATTACTCCATGAAGTACAACCTATTATATAGCTGGGATTTACATTACAGCTAATATCCGTAATCGCGCAAATAATCGAACCTCACAAAATCCGCTCTAATCGGCACAGGTAATCTAAAAATTTCGAAATATGAGGAAAATGGGAGAGGTCTGTTTTGTTTTTATGTCTGTTTGTCGTTCGTCCTTCCGGCGTGACAAACGGGCTTGTAGCGCTTAAACGGTAAGAAATATCGACATGTGGTTTGCGGCAAAGGTTAAAAGTATGCAGTGGTAATGAAGATTTTTTGTCAAATCCAACCCCCCACCCCTCCGTCCGCCACTTTGAACACCCCCAAAGTACACTTTCCTCAATTATTCAGCCCCATCTGGCATGAATCGGGCTCAAATTCTGGTTATGTTATAGCTGACCTCAAGACCTTTCCAGTGAACAGCCACCTAAGATTTTAGGTTCTTTCAAACCTTAGATAAGTATAAGGGTTTAAACTTCAGAAAGTAAAATGGTCAGAACTCCGCTTCTGAAAACCCGATCGGAACAATTTTAAGTTCATTGAAAAGGTCTCGTAAAATGCCCACCAGAACATCATAACTTTGTATGACCAAAGAGGGCGCTAAAGTAAAAAAAACCATTTCCGAAATCGAATAAGTCGAAAACAAAACTTAACTAACTAAAACTTTAAATTTTAATATGTTGTACACCATACAAAATAATAATACTTTTAGTAATAATAATAATAATAATAATAATAAATACGCATGAAATTCGGTTCTATTTATCTAATCTTAAAAATTTCAGGCTTGCTGGAAAGCTCTTGCAAAACCATACAACTAATTAAAACAATAAAAATTCATTAGATCACCGCCGAAGGCGCTTATGTCGATAATAATATTCTAAAAAATTTAAGTCAAAAATTTTTAAGGTCATTTTTTAAATATTTTTATTTAAGGACTTTGATAGTCCAGTTCGAGACGTTTCCAAAATGTTGGTAAATTGTAGAACAGAGTTGGTCAACTTAGTCACATTTCGAGTTGTTTCAAGCTGACCATAAATGTTCGCTTATCACTTCCTTTGACATGGAATATAAAAAGAAATACATAATACCAAATAAGTTTTTAAATCAATATAAGAATTTTGTTTTGGAATTGAAAACCATTATTATTCTTATTCTATGGCCTTCATCTTGGCTTTGATGTAAAAATAAATTCCTACTTTAGAAACATCTCTAACTGGACTATCCAAATATCTACTAAAAATTTTATTAAAGTAGCGTGACCTTGAATCCAAAATTTTTACTTTTTTTTAAATTCCGAGAAAAAAATTATTGACCGCCTTTAGCTATGATTCAACGACATTATAATGTTAAAGTGATCGATCGCTCTTAATAAGAGCTTTCCAATGGGTTCAAAAACTTGCACGTCGGATAATTAGAACCAGAGTTATGGCCATTTAAATTTTTTAAATTTGGGCCATATAGTCTAAAGTTTTGGAAGTACCTTTAAGTCTTGGTTCATTGAAAGAGTCTTGGGGCCGGCTATAACACACAATAATTTCGAGAAGATCTATAATACAGGACCTGAGTAAATAAGATTAATATGTGTATAAAATTACGGAAGCAGGGGTGGAAGGTTGGATTTGAGAACACAGTTTTTTATTTACATAATACTTTTAATCATTGCTGAAAACCGCATGTCGACACTTCTTACTATTCAGGCTATGGAAACCCATATATAGCATGGGACGGATCACAAAAAATTGATCACCACATTCGTCATATTTAGCCTCTCTGAGTCCATTCCAATCTATTTTCCCAGATTTTCCCACACGCGAAACATGTAGTAACATGGAACATGTAGTAATAAATAGTTTCTAAAATAGAAATGCTATTTATTTTTCACATAACATTGTGTTATAAATAAAATACTTCACATTTCTTACGCTGATTGTCGGTATATTAAAATACCTTTAAAGAAAATTTCGTTATGAACAAATGTATTATACATAGTCCATAAATTTCGAAAGATTTGTCCTGTTCTTTAATAAATATTCTTCATTCAATATAATAAGATAATTAATAATGCATTTTACAATGCTTTTAACATATATTTCGACCAAAAATTGCAATTTTTCTTTTCATTCAATTTCATATCACAGAAATTATTCGAGAAACATGTATTAGAACGAGAAAATCCCGTAAAATTTGTAATAAAAAAACACAATTAAATGTGTTACATCTTTTGTAGAGGATGAAAATATAAGATGTTCTTATGTTACCTACTAGAATGTACTGAACATCAAAACAAAGATTTGGTACATTTGTATAGCTCATAGCATAGGGCGAGATAAAATCCGCTTGAAATCTTTCAATTAATTATTTTACCCCTGTGTGGAAATAACCAAATCACGAGGCAATTGGGATTATAATTATAATTGAAAGAGCAACAAACAGACTTTGTGCCAATTTAATTTAATAGAAACATTTGCCAAACTACAAATGTATTCAATTTTGCCTGCCAACAATTGAATGACACACCAACCAATTGCAGATGTGCGATTGGGGAGAATGCGTGGCTCTTAGCTCCGCCTAGCAGACGAGAGAAAGGTTGTATGAAGTGGAAAGAACGTTGACAAAGAGCTGAGAATTTGTGAGATGATACTACAAAAAGAGGGAGAAACGTTTTCTTAATCTGCATTTTTTAGGTTTCTTTAATCATTATGAAGCGTACTAAAAGTCGAAAGATGTTAGGCATTTTAACAAGTAGATTTACTATATCTAAGTAATAATAGCTTTGATTTAATAGACTCGTATACACAAAAAGCAAATATAAATTATGGCACCCAAAAAAATATTCATCGAAAGCGTGTTTAGTTCCCTTAAAGTTTACAATATATAAAAACGATTTTACATCTTTTTTTCCATAACATTATCGGATTTACTTACTCACATATGCGGCTTTAACGTCCCATCTCCAGTAATGGAGATATGTAGACAGATTTTACGGCAGTAGAATGTCAGTTCGCCGACCAGCGATCTAACGTCACCTTTTATTATATATATAATATATATATATAATATATATATAAAATATATTATATATATATAATATATATATATATATATATATATATATATATAATATAGAGCAGAGCGCAAGACTCTAGTTCTCTCTATTCTAGTGAAGCGTATATTTCAGTTGGAACATTCAAAGGCAACCCGCTTGGGCTGCTCTAATTTCCCATTGAAAGGCTCATTTCTTGCACTCTGCTGTATTCGAACATTTGCTATCGTTGGGATTCAAACACACGACTATAGTACCGGGAGTCAAATGCATTAACCACTGAGCCACAGTCGCCCTAAATTACCAGAAACAACAAAATAATTATGAATAGAACAAATTTTACTTAAACAAATATGTTATAGGCGGCCGTGGTGCAGTCGGTAGAGAGCCAGACTGAGGACATCACAGTCGTGTGTTCGATCCTCATCACTTGCAAATGATCGAACACAACAGATACGAAAAATATTAAGCCCTTCAATGGCAAATATAAAAAATTCCAGCCCAAATAAGGTTGCTGTTAAATGTTCCAACTGAAGTAGAAACTTCTGTGGAAGTGTATTTCGCATCTGTCCTTACTTATAGATGGGCACAATACTAGACTAGTGTCACTTGTAAATAGCGATATCGTCTGCAAAAACGCCCAAGACTGTGAATTTGACTGGCTCACTTTGAAAGCCTTGCCCTCTGAGTGGGAAAAATCAAAGGATAACCGGGGGAGAGGGACGGACATAAAAATAAAAATAAGATATCAATGAAAGTCACAGGCCAAAGCTGTACCGTCTGAAAGGTAACTGGATGACTGGTTAGCTGTGGGTCTTGGCCCTTAAATGGGAAAATTTTCCTGGGGATGCATAAAGGGCCCGTCAGATGGCCTGGATGCCGTGGAGCAAGATTTCTTGTACCACCCCCATTTCTAATATAATCTAAACAAATATGTTTCGAAAAAAAAAGATAAAAATGAAAGAAACATGCAGGTAAATTTATAAAGATTGTAATTGTATATAGATATAGTGTTCATTGCTGAAATTCGGATTTCGTATTTCAGTTTATAAAAACCGAATCTGGTGTTTCAACTTTACGCTTTTCATAGTTTATATTAGCAGCCGCCTGGCGGCTGCTAGTGTACGAATGAAAT